CATCTTATCAGGATCAGGATGACCAAGATTGTTGTGCAAACGCCTAAGCTCAACTTGTTCCCCCTTATCCAACATGAGAAACCCAGGCCCCGATTTAGGGATAATTCGGGGGACCCATGCAAAATTTTCCCCATTGGAATTGGAGGGCTCGGCCATGACTTGATCTTCATTTGGAACGCAGACCGGAGACTGGCCTTCGGCACTGTCTCGGTCGGAACTGACAGCGGCACTCGGAGGATCCACCACAACACCATCTTCATCCTTAATCCCAAAAATAGAGAGTGAAATTCTGGCTGCCCCAGTGGACCTGATCTGCCGAGCACGTGTGAGCGTGCTCCATTTTTCGGGAGGCCCCAAATCAACAATCTCCCCCGAGTTGCGTGCCACCAAGACTGTTTTCCGCCAGGGAAACACTTCACAGTTTGCTGCGGCCGGCTGGATACGGTGTCTGTCTGTACCCCGGCATGCAACCACCAGTTTCACTGTCATGTCAGGCACCAGTTGTTGAACCATTCGGAACACGGCATCACCCTCTTCCCCCTTATAGAAAGCATTTCCTACTCTTGGGGTGGAATGTCCAGCTTGACGGAACACATCATGCCATGTGGGTGCTTTGCCATACAGTGAATTTTCTGGTTGTTTCAAGCTGACGCGACGTCTTTTCTGGAGCTGCAATGCCTCTTGTGCCATTTCGGGACGTTCGTGATCCTCAAGGCCTAAAACCATTTCTTCTAAAACCAAAGGAGTTTCCCGATGTCGGGATTCGGCCAAAAGAACCCTAGCAACTCGCCGTGCGAACTGTGAGGTGTATGTTTGTGCATAGTGTGACACTGTTTTCCATGAACCCTCATGTTTGAACTTTCCTTGAATTGGTTGGTGATCATGATCACCTCGACATGTTTGTGTGTTGAGATTCAAAAAGAGTGTCCGACATGTGGTGTTTAAAGGGGTCCTTTTCCTGAGAAAACCTGAGGCTGAAGGCAATCTAAGCTTCCCAACCTGGCACATATCAAAAGTGGCTGGCAGCGTTCCCAGAGCCATGTCGGACAGTTCCGGCTGAGCAGTCATCTCTGATCCTTGTGGTTGTTCATGATGGTAGTGCCGTGACTGACTCACCTGATGAAGGTACAACTGATTACATAACATCAAATGTGGTATATCAGCTTCCCTCCGTTCCATGATTTGATCCAACATCTTTACACTTCGTCCCATGTTGAACCTTGAGAAGTTTCCCCATAGTTTGCATTCGGGTGCTACCCATATGTTGCGGGGTTCCAACAAGTAAATCCATGACCACAGTTTCTTCTGACCCGATGATGTTCCCAGATCCCCATCTTGCTTGGTAAATCGAACTGCTCTACCCCCCAAAAGATTAACTTGCTTGGTTAATTGGGATTCAGTATCGCAGTAGACTTCAAGAAGATCGATCCCATTGGTGGTCTTGGTCATACTTTTCTTTAAATTGGAATTCCCCAACATGTTGAGATTCTTTCCCCGACATTTATATACCCGTTCATTTTTGAACACATATGCCGGATCCTTTTTGAGTGTGGACAAACCGCCCTCGATTTGGTGGGTAAGATTATTCAATTTCTCTGCCATCTGGATCAGTTGCTCTCCGGATGTTGAAACACTTCGGTGCCCGACGTCTCCTTCTGCAGCTCGCGCTGCAAGATGGCAATCTGTGTCTGAATCTGCATGATCTTCTCCTTGTTGGGCTGGGTCTCCATCTTGGTCGTTGGATTGTCGAGGACCCATGGAACCGATGTTTCCACCGGTATCTGGGTCCATTCCTCGAGATCGGACTGCTTGTCCTTCTCCTTGAGCTTGCCCTGACTGATCGGCTGAGGCACTGTGTTCGAGGCCATCGAAGACATCGGCGGCACTGGCATCTGCGGTGGTGTCATCGGAGGGCCCTGTGAAGTCGAAGGACTCCCCTGTCGGCCACGTCTCTTGGCCTCCTCGCTGGCCGCTCGACGAGCTCGACTGTACATCTGAAAACTTCGAACCCACGAGGACACCCCTCTGCGGTTCCACATCTGGTTGACATAGCCCTGGTCCAGTTCGTAGATGGCCGCGAAGCTCTTTGAAGCATGCTTGCCCGATGGAGCTTTGAGATACCCCCAATCCGTGAGAGTATTGATATCCGGAGGCCTCACCAAGGCCTGCGGAAGATCTCCGTGGGTGTGATAGCCCATCAGATTTCCATCCATGGGCGTGGTCAGCATGCGGTCGAGATAGTTCGGCCCTTGGAGATTCGCCATGTCGACCAGATGCGGTCTCACTGAAAATACCCCGGGCTGGACGATCTTGGTCACTCAGAAGAGCTGCGTTGCACGCAGAATCATTTCGGTTCACTCGGCTCATACCTTGGTGATCATTAACTGAATTTTCCTTAGGAAACATGTTCTGAATTCCATCCTGAGTGGACATGTCATGCATATGGTGGGTGACGGCAGCATGAACCTGTGGCGTTTTCATGTTGTCATGTTTTGAATCATTCAGTTTGTCTCCAAGTGTTCCATCCGTTTTCAATGACATTGTTCCGTTTTCATGTTTCGTTTCGTTTGTGAATGATTCCTCAGTGGGTGCACAGAGTGTGTGTGAAGGTGCATCACTCAGGTGGGGAGTTTTGTTCAACAAATCAGTCACCTTCACTCCCAGCAGATTTTTCCGGACATGAAATAAAGGAATGGTCTCTTCACAACCACGAAAACCCAAACACTTTCCTTCAACATCAATAATACCCTTCAACCCTTTCAAAATGGCACTTGAGATCAGGAAAGGAGTATGTCCCGGCACGACTTCAATTCGAAGCCATCCTTTTTGCGCGCGAGGGAGCATGACAGCACAATTGCTCGTCAGTTTGCCAGCATTGCCAAACTTGAAAACAACACCTTCCGAGGGGACCTGCATAACCCTTTTTCCAATTTGGGGGGGTAAACTGCGAACCAACTTCTTCAACCGTTCAGCCCCTATGACGGCACGGCTGGCACCAGTGTCGATGATTGCTTCATCATCGGCCTCCTCTGCGCTAAAAATTGAAACAGCAGGTGCGGACGTCGTACCTGCATTCTTCAAATCCAGTGGATGGGCTTCGAAAGACACAGCAGCTCGAGCGTCGCAGGACATGTCATGTTTCCTACAACAACTTAAAAGTTTGTGGGTCAAGTTCATGGACCATTGTGTTGTTCCTAAAAAGCAACATTCAACCCGATCCGAACACTCAGCATGAAAAACATGTCCATGAATTTTTCCCAAGTCCTCCAGGTATGCCACAGCGCCCTGAGGAAGGTCATCAACGACTTCCACAGCAGCATCAAGCCCGATGTCCTCCGTGATGACCATCACCTCCTCATCGGTCTGAAGGATGCCCGTGAAGGATTCCATCTCATTTGGCTTTTTGCCCAAGCCTCCAGGAGTAGGAGTGGAAGAGAGAGGGCATTCTCTCTTCCAGTGACCGGCTTGTCCACATCGCCGGCAAGTGGAGTTCGCTATGCGATCTGCCAGGCTCCTGCGGCGACCCCCAAAGCTCTGATTGCCCTGAGCTCCAAAACGAGCACCACCCCCAGGAGACTTTCCCTTCTTGCCCTTTCCACGGCCTTTGGACCCCGTCACTGGCCAGAAACCACGGCCCTTGGCCTTGTCTCTCAGGCGCTGCCTGGCTTCCTGATAACTGGTAAAACAGGCAGCCAGGTCCTGACTTTCCTGACAGGCAGTCAGGATCTGCTCCTCGAACTCCTGTATGAACATGGCATCATCGTCACCACTTTCAAGCAGTTGCTGCATCAGGACGTCTTCATCCATCTCTTCCTCTTCCTGGTAGTAGATCGGCTCTTCATCAACATGGTTCACATCATAGGTCTTTGTGCGGCCCTGAGTTTTGCCCTGGGTCTGCAAGTCCTGGAAAAACTTCGATCCCAACAACCGGATGCTCTTTCGAGCCAGATCATAAGAAAGATTTCCTGCACAATCCAATATGATCTTTTTGCGATCTTCGGCACCAAGGACACTTTGACGAAGGAGCACGTATGCTCTGACATCTTCCAGCTGCACCTTTTGGCTCATCAGCTCCTCGAAGGCAGCATCATGCCGAGCCAAATAGGAGTCATTTGACTCATCACTTTTCTGCGAGGTCATGTACAAGGCTTTCTCAAACAAGTCAAATTTCTCCTCACTCGGAAGACGACCCCATTCTCCTCCGAGGGCCTCCACCAAGTACTTGACCCCGTCCTTGGACTTCAGGCGACCAGGGTCCAAACGTGACACCTTCTGAAAGGCTACCCCTTCAACTGCCATCGCAGCCCTTGGAGCAAGTTGATCCAGGTATTCGGCTGGCCACAGTTCTCGCAAGAACTGAAGCTTCTTGGAGTAGGTGCGAACATCTGTTTCGCCAGGTGTGAATCGTGGAATCTGATTCCACGGCACCATGGATCCCGGCAACCCAGATCCCGCTGCTTGCGCGTCCGCTGTAGAACCCTCCATGGCTCAGGTCTTTCCTAAGGAAAACTGTGTTGTACCTACCCCAGGTAAACAAATCCCCCTTAAGGAGCCTGTGATTACGCGGCAGCCCAAAGCTCCGCTACCAATGCGAATGTTTAGTGGGATCCCCAATCACACCTTACCGGAAAGCTGAACCCTGCCAGCCTGATCAACCCAATGCAGAGACCCTGCTGCTGCTTCCTGTTTCACCCGTAGCTCCTACCAAGGCTCAATGCCCTGTCCCGCCCACCACTAAGGACGGCGAGGCGGCCGGCGATGGATGCAAGCAGTGAAAAGCTGTTAAAGGTCAATGGAACCTGAGACATGGATGTGTATGACAAGTGGTTTCACAATATATATATATATATACATATATATACATATATATATATATACATTATATATATATACACATTATATATATATATTGGGTAAGTGTATGGATATCAACCAACGTTCCCCCATCCGGGATTGGGGACCCAACTCATCGGTTTACTCCGTCGGAACAATTCTCCCAGGGCGTCACGGGTCGAAATTCCAGCGACGACCGGGTGAAGTTCCTCAGGACGACGGATGTTTTTCGGAGGAAGCCACAGATTCGATGCGACAGATATGGAAATATGGGAATCTGTTAATGGAAATATATGGAAATATATAGGACATTTCCATTGAAATTTGTTGAAATATGGGAATTGGGTAAATTTCAATAGAAATGTATGGGAAATCTATTGGAGATTCATGGAACATATATGGGAATCATATTTGGGAATATCTGGGTAAATTTCATCACCTCACTGTTCTCCACTGGGAATGATGGTTAGTAGGGGTGACTATCCCCAAATGACCTTATTTCAGGTTAGTGAAATATTATAATTTACCCAGATAGGAATTTCAATGGACATGTATGGGAAAGATATTGGAGATATGGAACAGTTTTTTTTTGGGAAATATTTGGGAAATATGTGCATATGTGGAAGGATGGGACATGTATGGATCAACACCTTGGTTTTTCATGTGAGTTATGGCCATGCAACAGGAACCGATTTATTGGAGGTACCTACCCATATATAAGGCCTATTTTTTAGGGAATATCCCCACAATTCATAGGATCCTGAAAAATGGTACGTTTACGTAGCTCCATATTTTAGGATCCTGAAGATCTCCCATTGACCAAACAGAAAATTGACCATCCCCAGATGGAGATCTTTGAGGAATAGCCTCTGGTAATTTGTTACAGTTTACTATTGAAAATTGCCAATTTATAGTGGATTTACCCATTAATAGCATGGTGATTTTCCACAGTTTTCTGTAAACGTTTACCAGAGGGTATATGGAAGAATGGGAGCCATGTCCAATGACATTATGGGAATTGACCGGGGATAACATGGGAATTTATCTATGAAGTGGTGATTTAATGGTACTTAAACTTGTCGGATGAGATATGACGGGAAACATATACATACTATTTTTTTACCCTCTGGTAATTTGACGCTTTGTACGAAATTCACATGTTTTTAATAGGTAAAACATCTCTGAATCATTTCTTTTAATAGACCATGTATAACATAGCTACGTTGAAGAATCAGAGAGTACATGTGGGGAAATCACGTGCACGTGCTAAATTCATAGAATCCATTTTTAAATATGATGTGTAGATATAAACATATAGAATACACACATATTTGTTTGGGTGGGAAAAACGCATATAAAGAAGATCAGAACACAACTTGGGTGTTGATAATTTTGAGCCATGGCTATGGGGCAACCAATAGCTACCTCACCAAGAATTATGTTTTTTTATTATGGGTGGTATCATCCCTTAAACCATGGTATAGCTAATTATGGTTCATCTACTATGTTTCAATTATGGTTTATATATACATATATATATATGGTGTATGTATCTATTAATTCTGGTTTATGCTTAAATGTTCTTGTTTGATTTCTGGAATGACTATGCTCAGATAAGCCAGCTGCAGCGATGCTCACCGTTCTGCATTTTTTTTTCTTGGCTAGTTTATTTTGTTAACAATTTACCCAGGCCATATGGTCAGTTGCTAGTACAACATTAAAGACATGTTTGAATTGAATTGTCATGGCCTTTGCAAAGCCAATGTTTCTATGATTTGTGCTGATATTTGCAGCACGTTCAGTACGTTTGGATTTACTCTGAAAGGCTGCCAGTGATGCTGCTATCACCTCTGCACCTATCATTTGCATCTATCGAAATTGCAGATTGAGATTAAAACAGACATCAAATTTCTACATATTCTTCTCTCCACTTTGACGGAAAATAACTGTAACCTTCAAAACAATATAATTTTCACTGTCTTTGATGGTGAAGAATATTCCCAGTGAAAAGTGACCTTAGAACATGCAACAAAAGTGACCAATCTTCTGATGTTTTCAACATCTGGTTGGTGGTTTGGAACATTTTTATTTTTCCATTCAGTTGGGAATGTCATCATCCCAACTGACGTTAACTCCATCATTTTTCAGAGGGGTCGGCTCAACCACCAAAACCAGATTATTATTAACCATCATTAACCATATATTAACCATATATATGAACCATTAATATTAACCAGTATATTACCAACCAATAGTAGGTGGCTCAACCACCAACCAGGATTATCATTAACCATCATTAACCATATATTAACGATATATTAACAGTACATTAACCAGCTAATTATTGGGTATATATTATTATATGGTTTCTTGCACTTCACTGTTCCAATCGTAGCTCCGTCGAGTTTTTTTTCACGAAAGGACGGTGACTCTGCAGCCGATGATGTTGACCTCCGAATTGGACCAGTCCTGGAGGACGTTTCGGGCGCGAGGAATGGGGCTGGGGCTGTGCCATGGTCAAGTTAGCCTCTGGTTTTGACGTTTACATCATGGGAAAAACATGGGAAAATGGTGATTTATATTGAACATCACCATTTTTAATGGGTAAATCAACTATTTCTATGGCCATTTTCAATAGCAACAATTTTTTTCAGAGGCAAAATGGGAAATTGGGCGATGGTCGATGATTCCCATTTGTACCTACCACCAGTTATAGTCGATGTGAGTCGAGCGGTTCAGTGACTCGATGTGACGGCCAATGTGCTGCCAATGTGCAGTGGTAAACGCCCCATTTTGAGTTGGTAAACTTTTAAACGACGACATTCCCATCAACATCGAGTTGGGCATCCTGGAGATCAATGGGAGATTTTTTGAGGATCCAATTGATGGAGGTACTGTAATTACCATTTTTGAGGCAATATTTTGCTGGGATATTCCCTGAAATTTAGGCCTAAAAAATAGGCCTTATATATGGTTGGTACCTCCAATAAATCGGTTCCTGTTGCATGGCCATTGACTAACCCTCTCAATCAAGGTCTATTTATACGGGGTTGACATTAGTTCGTACCAATAACCATAGTTATTGCACGTATTTATATGGTAGGTACCTCCAAGTTAGGAACCTGAAATGGCCATTGATCCCAGCCCCGTCCATTAAAAAATGTGGTCCCAAATGTGTTTCTTCTCCCCGACGAAGGTCCCTATGGTTCCGAGGTATGCCCAATGAGAGATCACCCAGTTGAATCTGAGAGGTTTCCGTCTCATCCATTAATGGGATTTCCCATGTTTTTCAAGCGATAAAGGGGTAGCCCCAATTTAATGGAAAGCCCTATATGATGAAATATGATGAACATTTGGATCTGGTTCTTTTCTGAGTTGGTTGAAAATGCCAGATACACATTCCATTTGTGGGCTAAGCCACTCATATTGGCTACAGCCAATATGACATTAGTTGTTATGCTATGGCTAACTGCGTATCAAATCTTGTTACTATGGTATGCATATATATATATACTGTATATACTGTATATATGTATATAATTATATGTATATGGTCACATTAATTTTCATTATATTACATTGGTTATATGCATCTATCATACCCAGTTGCTATACTATACTGTATCAGCCAGTTACATCAATCTTTGTTGATATATCAATTGATATTAAACAATCATATTTGTATTTGGAAACAATCGTCAATATTATCAATATTTTTCATATACCAATCAATCACTGTCGTTGATGATATGTGTTGCTATTTTATGTCATCCACTTACACAGTCATCAGACAAATCACTGAGTTAAATCCCATTGATAACATTGCATCACATTATGTATGTATATATATAGACATATAATCGATATTCACATCAATATGCCTTACAATGTCATGATATTCACCTTTTTCTAGTCATATGTCACAACACCGTTCTAGTTACCCTCTGGTTATTTAACATAGCCATGGTATAGATGGCCCTAATCGAAATAGATGGTTTACCTGGGTTTACCGTTCTCAAAACTGGTGATTTTCCATGGCAAACTGTGAATGTCATAACCAGATGGTAATAACTCCAATAACTATGGTTTATGGTAGTTATAACCATAGTTACTGAGGCTTATAAACCAACAAACATCACTGGGGGGCCTCACATTGTCATCCGCCAGATCCGGCACGCTCCAGGAGCTTCGCATTTTTGCCCAAGAAGGGCAAACTGCTCCTGCTGAACCAGGACGGCACGGAGGTGTGCAGCGGGTCCGGTCCAGCGGGGGCCATGACGGTCCATGTTGGAGAAATCTGGCAGGGGACACCCATTTGGTGTCTCAAAATGGAATATCTTCCAGTAAATTAACAGTTGGACCTTGGTAGTCATCGGGGTTGGAAGATTCGTTTCCTCTAAAAATAGGTGATTTTCAGGGTCCCAGGGTCTATGTTAATTTACCAGAGGGTATCTTCCCCAAATTTAAGACAGTTTATATATGTTTATATAAGATAGTTCAATATAGTCTAGTTGGTGGTGACTGGAACATTTTTTATATGACGTTCCATTCAGTTGGGAATAATCATTCCAACTGGACGAACTCATATTTTTCAGAGGGGTACAATGTGAGGCCCCCCAGTTATAAGTTGGTTTAGATTCACCCCAGTAACTATAGTTATAACTACCATGAACCATAGTTATTGGAGTTATAAACCAACTTAGCTATCTTGGGGGCCTCACATTGTAGGGATACCACCAACCAGAATATCGTTTATTTTAGGAAAAATGATAATCCTAAGATATCCATCCAGTCATAGGGGTCCCCAAAAGCATCCATGAATGACGACTGGGGATCCGCCAACGAGTTGGTGGTGCCCTCTGTTAAAACAATTTGGAGCTTCCTATGGAAAGAAATCACCAACATTTTTTTTTCGAAATCTAGCAAACTCTAATCTAATTTGGCTAAAAACATCCAGGAAATCCAGCTTCCCGAAAAAGCCAAATCATCTATTTCTGCCATTTCCGATGACGCAAATGTTCCTCGCCATGCGATCCGCTAGGTGGAAGAATACGCCTTGCGCGGACATCACTACGTAAAGACCTGGACCTTGAGCAATTCCTTGCCACACAAAAAGCTGGAGGCGGGCGGCGCGCTGGCATGGTGCCATGGCTGTTGCAGTTGAAGTTGACCAAGAACTGGAGTCAAAGCTGGGAGGAGAAATACCGAAGATCATGAAATATCATGAAATATCTGGAAATTGGGATTCAATACCTGGAAATTGGTGCCGAACCAAGATGTACAGAAAATCTCCATTCCTGTGATTCCAGTCCGGTTTGGTCCGGTTTGGTGGTTGAATCACTAGCTTCACTGGTCATCATTTGATGCTGAGTAGTTTAATCCAATGCCCCCGAAAAAAAAAAATACTTTACTTCGTGTGATCCCCACCATGACATTTATACATTTTCTTACTGGCAAATCTTCTGGCATTCTATCTGACATATCTTCTGACATTCTATTTGACATTCTATCTGGCATATCTTCTGGCATATGATCTGGCATATCTTCTGGCATTCTATCTGGCAAATCTTCTGGCATTCTATTTGGCATATCTTCTGGCACTCTATCTGACATATCTTCTGGCATTCTATCTGGCATATCTTCTGGCATATATTCTGACATATCTTCTGGCATTCTATCTGACATATCTTCTGGCATATATTCTGACATATCTTCTGGCATTCTATCTGACATATCTTCTGGCATATATTCTGACATATCTTCTGGCACATCTTCTGGCATATCTTCTGGCATATCTATCTGGCATATCTTCTGGCATATTTTCTGGCATTCTATCTGGCAAATCTTCTGGCATTCTATCTGGCATATCTTCTGGCATATTATCTGGCATTCTATCTGGCATATCTTCTGGCATATCTTCTGGCATATCTTATGACATTCTTTCTGACATTCTTTCTAACTTTCTTCTGCACATTCTTTGTCCCATATCTTCCTACATGAGGTCCGGCAGGGAACACTTGGCGTGGATACTAGCGGTTGAGGTCCGGCAGGGAACACTGGGCGCGGATGGTCGCGGTTGAGGTCCGGCAGGGAACACTGGGCGCGGATGGTCGCGGTTGAGGTCCGGCAGGGAACACTGGGCGCGGATGGTCGTGGTTGAGGTCCGGCAGGGAACACTGGGCGCGGATGGTCGTGGTTGAGGTCCGGCAGGGAACACTGGGCGGGGATGGTCGTGGTTGAGGTCCGGCAGAGAACACTGTGGATCGCGGGTCGCAGTTGAGCAAGGACGACGAGGACGACGAGGACGACGAGGAGGACGAGGAGGAGGAGGAGAGGAGGACGAGGCAGGAGGAGGCGGAGGAGGAGGAGAAGGAGGAGGAGGACGAGGAGGCAACTGACATAAAATCTAACAACCCTCACCTGGCAGGTGGGGAAAAAAAACATTTCGTTGGTTTGTGATTATGGAAGCAAACTACAGATTGGTGGTTTCAAACATGGCCTTTATTTTCCATTTCATATATGGGACAATCCTGCCCATTGACTAATATTGTTCAAGATGGTTAAAACCACCAACCAAACTATTATTGGTTCCATAAAGCCTACTAAACAATGTCTCTAACCGGTGGGTGGTTTCATGTCTATTCATATATTACATATATACACATACATACATACCCTCTGGTAATCAAACATGGCAATTGGACAATTCCCAACAAAAAAGGAACTTTTATGGGAAAATCATCGAACTAAATGGTGGATTTTCCAGCAAACCAGGTTTGAAACATGTTTGATTACCAGAGCTCTGGTATAGAAATATATTCATATTGATCTTCAACCTTAGTACTTGGGATATAACGGGAAATAAGGGGAGTAACGGAGTAACCATATAGATCATGGATATTATTACCGTATATAATGGGAGTAACAATATAGATCATTATCCCATTATTGTCCTGTTGGTCATCATATTCCCATATAATCCCATAATTATATATAATCCCATTAATCTATAATTATCGGATTGGGATATCACCTATATACTGTAAGGTTATCAAAAAAATCTAAATCTAACTGGTGACAATCCCACTGTACCACATCCCATATCAATCTTATATATAGATCATTTGTATTTTAGTATAATCCATCATCCATTATCCCACTATTATCATCATAATCCCATCCTCCCATCATAATCCCATCATCCCAACTGGTTGGTGGTGACTGGAACCATGGAATTCTGAATGACTTTCCATTCAGTTGGGAATGGAAAAATCATCCCAACTGACTTCAACTCCCTGATTTTTCAGAGGGGTCGGTGGCTCAACCACCAACCAGATTTTTTCATTAACCATCATTAACCATCATCATAACCGTTAATATTAACCATATATACATATATATATATATTAATATATATTAACATTATATATATATATATTAACCATATATTAACAGTATATTACCATATATATTAACCATTAATATTAACAGTATATTTAGCAACCAATGGTAGCTCAACCACCAACCAGTTCTCCCATAGGCGATCCAAGCTGTTGAGGGCGAGGAGTCCAAAGAGTGTGCGAAGGCGTTCCGCGGATTTCCGCGGGGCCGAGCCGAAAAGCAGGGGATGGTGACGACTATGGCTGGTTTCAATGGATTGGTTTAAGGGAAAATCTACAGGAAACCATAGATTTTCCCATTAAATATGGGGTTTTCCTGTAAATTTTCCCTTAAACCAATCCATTGATGGTTGGTAAACTAACAGAAATTTCTATGGAAAGATCCACCATTTTATAGCTGGGAAAACTCACGAACTAAATGGTCATTTTTGTTGGATCCTAAAATATGGAGCTGCGTAAATGTACCATTTTTCAGGCTATATGTTTGTGGGGAGATTCCCTGAAATTTAGGCCTAAAACATAGGCCTTGTATATGGTAGGCACCTCCAATTTGGCATCGGTTCCTGTTGCATGGCCATGGATATGGAGTATGGCTTACGACCTGTTTTTGTTGGATTTCAAGGGGATGTTTTTCGTGGGATTTAATGGGATTTAGTTGGCTAGCTTAGTGAACATAAGTTCAATGACTGTGGTGTATAACGTCAATAAGTTCAATAAGTATGGTCCAGTGTGGAGTATAACTTCAATAACCTCAACTATTGAGTATGGCCACAAGATAGCTAAGTTGGTGAACATAGCTTTAAAAACTCTGGTGTATAGAAATCAAATAACGCCAGTTAATGGAACCCCCGCGGGGCCCACCTTTTAGGGGTTTAACTAACCACACTAGGAATATCGTGGGGGATATCACGGGATAATATTCTTCGAGTGATCCCCACCAAGTGACATTCTATCTGGCATAAATTCGGAGAAAAATTCTATGTGGCATTCTATTTGACATTCCATTTGGCATTCTAATTCTGACATTTTATTTGACATATAGAAATTGACATTCTTTAATTGGCATTATATCTAACATGTGGCCACTGACATTCTCGCCACTGGGATCATCTTTCCATTGTAGCCCAATGAAATATCTCCATTCTTGTTGGATATTGGATAATGTCCCATCAATATCTCATTAGATGGTTTTTGATGGTTAACATTGGTTCCCCAACAATATTACTTGAGGGTATATCCCATCACTTTCACCATTGTAGATCCTCTGAATCGATTCCCCAGTCATGATAAAATGATAAAATGGAACATAAAGGGAACATAAACCAAATAGGTCACCATTTCATGATTTCATGTATGTTTTACGAAGATATTGTATATACCTTCAATCTGACGAATTTTACTGTTTAGAATATTCTACCCTCTGGTAAACTAACATAACTATGGAAAATGGCCATTTAGTTCGTGATTTTTCCCATTAAAAAATGGTGATTTTCCATAGTTATGTAACAGTTTACCAGAGGGTAACCACCGGGAATGTTTCGGCCATCCCTGATTGGATGGTAAACCACCATCCCCAACCCTGGATGGGTAGAAAATCCTTTCAATTTTTGCTAAACAGGTACCTTTTAGGTGGAAAAACAATGGAACAAACCCTAACCAACAAAAAATATATAAGTGGACTATCAAAGGTTGACCATACATCATTAATTCATAGGATTTTCCATGAAATAAACCATCCAAGCGTGTCTTAGGGTACCCGCAAGGTGGTGCCCCCCCCAGTTATAAGTTAGATATTTATATGATATAAAGCCCATGAATACTAGTTCGTTACTAGTTCGTTATATCAGTTATATCGTCTACCATTTTCATCCTAGTTACTGTAGTTAATTCCACCAGCTTCGAACTTCGCGAACTATTGGGAAATATCACCACCTTCCACATGAAATATCACCAGCCGCCAGGAATCCTCAGGTTTCGTGAACGCTGGCTGGCTGGTCTACGCCGCCACCGACTCGGGCCAGGTCCAGTTTCGGGGAAAACTCCGGGTCCGGAAGTGCCCTGCCCGTTGCGGTTAGGGGGTTAGAAATAGCTCAAGACATGGAAAAATATGGAAAAATATGGAAAAATGATGATGAATGGTGATGATATACACCATGAAACATGTTTTTTTGTTTCTTTTAATGATGATATATGTGATCAAACCATGAAACATTGTTTTTTGGTTTGATTAATGTTGACATATTGGGAAATCAATCGCGGCAATGGGAAATACCCAAGAAAAATGGATGTTTAATGGAAAAAACATCTAGTGGTTTGGTGATTATTGGATTGGTGATTGTCCATTGCTATGTTTGATTACCGGAGGGTATGTGGCCCAAATCTGTATGTTCATGTATGTTCATCATAGTGAAAAACATGACAAAATTATAGATGAATATAGGTTTGTCTGAAAATAGGGTATATTCCCAATTATAGCCATTTAATATCATTTAATAGGGATAATGATCAGCAAAACCATTGGGTTTAGGGGTTTTCTCTATTTTCAGACACACCCATATAGCTGATGGTAATCAGTGGAATTGGGAGTGCCCCATGTTCAATCAAAACCATTTTAATGTGAAAACAAATTTTGGAACCCAACCAAAAATCAGGAGGTTGAACCTATCAGAGGTGTTGGTCTACTCTAAGGTAAAGTAACCTCGATTGAATCCTCCAGAAGTATCCAGAAGTGCAACCCAGTTATTTGGGAGTTTCTGAGGGTCTAGGCATGTATCCGCTAAAATTTCCATCTCAATGCATTGGTTTTTGATGGGCTAATTTAGAGGAAAACCCCTTAATTCATCTTAATTCGATATAATGCGTGGAAAAAACATCGAAAACCCATCTGGTTGGTGGTTTCACACATTTTTTATTTTCCATAATATATGGGATGTCATCCTTCCCATTGACTTTCATATTTTTCAGAGGGGTAGGTCAACCACCAACCAGCCATGGTTTCTTGTGACTTAACCAGAGAGTATGACCAAAACCACCCCCACGCAGGTCGTGACGCTGTGCCCCACCTATCGCAACGAGCTGCATCCGCTGTTGATGGTCATCTCATTGAGGCGATTCGCGTTATTTTTCATGGGAAACAAACACGTACCCGGCCTGGTAAACGTTTACAGAAAAGTGATGGGAAAATCACCATCTTTAATAGGTAAATCAACTATTTCTATGGGCCATCTATACCATGGCTATGTAACAGTCATTACCAGAGGATAGTTTTTTGGCATCCCCAAAGATCGAAAAGTGAAATCCCAACTAAAACATTGGTAAAATATGGTGAACAACATTGGTAAAATATGATAAAATCCGGTGAAATACATTTCTACCATTTTCTACCTTTTTTGGAGTGTTTCTTTTTGGAAAATTCATGTTACTTATATGGGAATTATCATGTGTTACCTCTGGTAATTTACAAGAAATTCTACGGAGTCCGGTGGTGAACGGAGGGAACGGTTCGGAGATATGGAACGGTCATATTCCCTATGAAATGGGATGCCCCAAAGTTGCCAAGAATTTTCTACCCTCTGGTAATTTGTTGCATAGCTATTGAAAATCACCATGCTATGAAAATGGGTAAATCATCTATTTCGACTGGGCCATCAAATTACAAGAGGGTACAGCATTGGTTGAACATATATTAAAAAGAAAAAAGTAGTTCATCCATCTGGGTAAATTTCATCACGACCTCACTGTTCTCCCTCACTGGAATCATGGTAAGGAACATCATCCCCATGGCCTTAAGATTCAGGTGAGTGAAATATGAATCCAAACATACCCAGCTAATGTATATAGGTATAAGCAATTGGAGATTTATAGATTATATCTGATTTACCTATTAAAAATGGTCATTTTCCATAGCAAAACATGACAAATGAACGAACACATCCCTGTTGAAAGAGAGTGACCATGGTGAAACCCACAAATTCGGGCTGGGCTCTTTTGGGGTCCACCATGGTCCATGATGGTTTCCATGATGGAACTTCCACCCACCCACTCTCGGTGGGTTTTTTTTATGGTGAAGTACCCTCTGGTTATGTCAAAATAGCTATTGAAAATGACCATTTATAGTGGATTTTCCCATTGAAAATTGTGATTTTCTATAGTTATGTTAGTTATTGTTAGTTTACCAGAGGGTATTCATGATTAGTCATTGGAAAATTATCCAAAGATTATAATACAATATTAGTATTAGATACCAATAATATTACCAGAAGGTATCCATGATATATTCATAATGGCTATTAGTATATTATGACTAATATTAGTATTGGATACTTTCTGGTAATTTCTGACACTTAGCGAGCTTGAACATGGTGATTGCTGGTGAGTTCGTTGATTTACCCATTTGAAATTAGCATGGTGATGTTCCATAGTTTTTTGTATATCCCAATGGTTGCAGAATTTAGTTCCGATCGCTATGGCGAAGACCGAGAAACGGAACCAGAAATATTGCTGGTTGGTGGCTTGGAACATGAATTTTATGACTTTCCATTCAGTTGGGAATGATAATCCCAACTGACGAACTCATATTTTTCAGAGGGGTTGAAACCATCAACCAGGATGCGTTGGTTTTCAATCAGGGACTGTCTGACCAACTATCTCAACTATTTCACAGATGATTATGCAACTTCGAACACAACTTCTTTCGCGCCAAGGTCTATAATTTCTATATCAGATTTTGGGTTGCTTCCACATCTACTTGCAACAGTAGTGAGTCTATTCGCTACAATTGATTCCCTTACCACTTCACCATTATTGCTTATGTTCATGAAATCCCAATATCAATTGGTTAAATCCCAATTACTCAGCATTTACCACTTAGTAAACTAACTATAAACACAAACCATATCTATCCGCAAATTCATCCATCCCCAGCCAACTGCACCATGCTGATGACAAACTAGCCCGCTTCCTAAGATCCCTATCACGTTGAAATCCCAATTATTCATCTATTTTCACGAAACCATCTGAAATCACTCTCTGTTCATTAGTTATAGATGTACAAACCTTCACTTCCTGTTAATTAGATAAATCATCTAGATGTTAATAATTGTTGATAGATGTTAGTTGATAGATGTTAGTTGATAGATGTTAGTTAAATCCCAATTATTAACTAACATCTATCAACGTCCCACGTCAAAAAAATCTCAGCCATCCATTCCATCCCATTGGATGCAACAAGATCACCATTCTTCATCATGTAAACCACCATTTTTATCCATTTTCCTTGGTTTCAACCACCGTTTGTCATGGTTAATCCCACCATTTTTCAATGGTGAAACCACCGGGTGAAACCAGCGTTTTTCACCGTCCTTCGGCCTCCAGCAGGCACCGCAAGGCGGCGAAGGATTTGGTGGAGGTGGTCGACTCGCACACGGGAACCACCAAGGTGCCAGTTGGAAAATCATTAGGTGGGAAAAAAGTCATGGGGGTTTCCTAACTATGAACTAACTATGAACTATAGGGTTTATATGGATGTATATTAATGTATATAACTATGTGGGAATCACTAATGGTCCATACAAAATTAATGTATATAACTATGATTTTCCCATTAAAAATAGGAACTATAATGGCCATCAACAAAATGGTGCATGACACTGGGATTTTATGATAATTTTATAGTGATCTAAATGGGATTTATATGGTGATTAGTGGGAATGTCATGGGAATATGATCAATAAATTTCATCACGACTTCATGTGGGGACCAAGTCATGGGGGTTTCCTAAGTCAGGGTACCTCTATCAATGCATGCTTCATATTATGAATGTTCATGGTACCAGTGAAAGGTATTGGTAAATCTATTATGAAACTTGTTTATTTGTAAATATTTACGGTGAAACATATTTTATATGTTATTAGTATCATGAACGAGGCATTGCAACCACCTCTCGAATGCTTTGCTGAAATCAGTCTGACCACTGGAAGGTGTTTGAGCCCAGACTATTAGTACTATTCGTAAATGTTTATGGTGATTTAGATATACATATATGATTATAGAATGTTACATATAAACTGATGTTAATATAATTTAGTTTAGACTGATATAATGTTAATAGCTAAAACCATTGATTACTAACATAACTGAAATATTAACAATATATTATTCATATTACTAATGGTTTATACTAATATAATATATGTTAATAGTAATATAAACCATGTTAGATATAAAATCATTTATTTTATGTTCCCTAATTTAGATATAAACCACGTATGTTATTAGTAATATTAGTAAATGTTCATGGTGTTTAAAACCATATATATATAATAGCATGTGTTTACTATACTATAATAGTAACTATTTCGATCATATTATATATAATAGAATGGAACAAATGGGAAAACAAACCGTACTTGTTTACTGGAAATGTTATTTTGATGGTGACAACATATTAGGGTTGAATGAACAATGCTAATTCCAAGGGTGGAAAACACAGTTGTTTGAATGGACCATATTAGTGCATGAACATACATATTTCTTTTAATGCAACATCTGTTTTAATGAGGAACAACAACATATTTGTTGACTGGAACATGCTATTTTTCAATGGTGACAAACACTGGGATACATTAATCCCTATGGATCCAAACACTGTCTGAGAAGGTACTTAACCCTCCAAATTATAGTAAATTAATCCCCCAAACACTTCCTAAGAAGATACTTGGATCCTATGGGAATGTTAATGGGACAAACACGTCTAATTTGAAGAGTGGACAAAAACGTTTCAAGTTTCGGGGAGTCCAATGGATTCATAGTCCAGTGCGACTCTTGAAGCTTCACTTGGCTAATCCTTTGTGGTTTTAACGGATCTACCCTCTGGTTATGAATAACATAGCCATGGAACATCAGCATTTTTAAGAACGGTAAACCATCTATAAATGGGCCATCAATACAATGACTATGTGAAATCACCAGAGGGTAACGAATTAAGTAATGTGTTTTTGATGTTTTTTTTCCAAACTTGATAACCATCTTGTTAGGAAAATAAGTTTCCACACTGAACTGAAGCCCCAATTTATATGTTTTGATGCTGAAAAATCTCCATCCACCCTTTTTTGATCCAGTTTCTTTCAAATAATGCTGACCGTTTCGTGAACGATGATGGTCAATGGGACGAGTCTTGGCCAGGCATCGAGTTCCAGAATCATTGCAATTGTGCGCGACCCGAGCACGAACTGGATCTGGTTCCGAGCACGAACTGGATATGGGGATGGGATGGGATGGGGTGGTCCGGTGGTCCGGCAAGGTTTTCTCAGATGCCTACCATCCGATCCTAAAATCGTGCGAGCTGCTGTTCTATCTTTGTGGTACTACAGTTACTATAGCTGGGTAAAGCCTGGTTTGGTTATTCCTCGCTAGATTTGGGGATGGGTAAAGCCTGGTTTGGTTATTCATAGTTATCATGTTGCAAATGTTTACTGTTTTTGCCCTGAAATCTACTTCCCTGAGATTAGCAGAATGGGATTGGTAGTGGTTTCCTGAGGGTCAATCGACTGCAGGAAGGGTGGGTCAATTGTTAACATTGTTAACCCCCTAGCCTCACTGGGTAAATTATAACGACCTCACTGGAAATCATGGTTAGTAAGGGGAATCATCCCCAAAATGGCCTTAATTCAGGTTAGTGAAATATTACAATTTACCCAGCTAATGTATATAGGTATAAGCAATTGGAGATTTATAGATGATATCTGATTTACCTATTAAACATGTTCATTTTCCATAGCAATATTAGTTTAACCAGAGGTAATTCACTATTAGACACCCCTAGTCTATGGTTCCAAATCTTGGAGTTTCCCTACATCCAGCAGGGTGACATCCGGAGAATAGACCACTCAACCTACATCCAGCCTGACCTGGATCGCCGGGCCGAGGCTCTTGAACACAAACACCGAGGGAATGGCAGAAGTCACTGCCTGGGATACGGAGTCGCTAAACGCATTGCTTTTAAGGGCGATCAGTGATTTTGATTTATTTGATTTGAAATGAAATTATATGAAATTATGACATTTATTTACCCTGATCATACATGATACCCTAATACCAATAATAAGAAGAACAGATGATCTTGAAGATTTTCCAGGATATTTAACATAGTTTAAAATTATTTAACATATTATATAACTCTTTCTTGGGGTTTTCCAACAACTGAAGCAACCACTTTTTTCTGGCCAATACCTCTGATCATTAAGCTTTGATCACCATGGGGAAAATCGGAAAATCCCATCCCAAACCGACCAAAATGGATGAGAACTTGGGGGGTACCCGTAGCTATTTTTTAATGGAAACCTCCAAATTGACCTTTCAGATGTTTTGAATGCCCTGTGGTAACTTATAAATTATATATCAGTTTGCCATGGAAAAGATCACAATCTAGCCATTCGATGCCATTCGATCGATGAATCAGCGAACTATTGCTGGGCCGAAACGAAGAAAACGCGTTGGCAAACTGAGTTTGTCATCCGACTTGGCTAAGCCGGCCATCCGCCTGGATAGATCATGATAGATCAAAAAACCTGCTAGCCACTTAGCCACCAGCTGGGATGATCATCCAGGTTCAAATCATAGATCTGGGTAAATTTATTATCACGACCGAAAAACGTTGTTCGACCACGTGAGAGCCCTGCGAATCATGGTGTTTTTATAGGAGGAATCATCCCCTTTTATGGCCTTAAGATTCAGGTTAGAGAAATATTATAATTTACCCTGATAGATGAATCCCTATTTTAACTGGCGTGTGTGTGTCTGTGAAAATGGGGCTATGTTGATTCATGTACCCATGATATCCATTGATATATTCCATTATGAAATCAAGATGAGTCAATGTGATCCATTATGCCATATTATAGACCCATTAAATCAAATACGATCAAATAATCACAATTTGCTGGTTGCTATCCAGTATTACTTCATCAAAGAACACTCAGAAATTGTTTGTTATTTATCATTGTCATTTCCTGGTTGTTCATGATTGTTAATTATATAAATTATATCTCAACTACGAGTGTAATCCATGTTTTTTAATATATATATATATGACACATATGTGTAATATATAATTAATCAATAGTTATAAATTATACATAATTAATTCATAGTTATAAAAGTAAATAAATAAATAAATAAATAGATAAATAGATAAATAAATAGATAAATATATATATACATACATAAACATAAGTTGCTGGTGGTTCAGATGTTCATTATATCCCCACTATATTCCATAGCGACATAGCATCATGGCTTGATAACGCCAGAGCCTGAGGACTGAGAGAAATAAAGAAATGGGACGTTGGGCACTTCCTTCGGGTCGTTGGTGGGTTCCTGGCATGTGCTCCTTGGAAACATGATGGATGTTGAGCCAAATTTTCAGCAAGAACAGTGGGATTTGACCAAGCACAACTTCTTCTTTGACCTAGAAATTCATGGTGATGTAGACCTCTTTATTGTCTTTGTCTCTTTTTCGAATCGGGGTATGTGACCAGCCATAAATTCATTGGGATTTACCATCTGGTAATTTAACATAGCTATAGAAAATCTCCATTTTAATAGGCAAACCATCTATAAATAGGCAATTTTCCATAGCTACGTTAGTTTACCAGAGGGTAAGCAATATCAGGGGTATGTGACCAATGAACATCACCAATCCAATAAGCCGGGTTCAAAACTGGTATGGTTTGTCATCCAACAGTCCAACATCCTAAAAAATTGGACTGCCTGGCAGTCCAGTTTGTGAACCCGAACAGATGGTAACATTCCCAGTTGTGGCGCACATGTTGCCTGAATCAGCCATGTTTGGAAAAATCCTGGGGAGCATGGGAGTTAAGTAGAGATCATGATGCTTGGGGAAACATTCCATTCACTAGCTGGGTATCAACATGTATCAACACATATCTTGCAGTAGTCCAAACATGATGGGTATGTCACCCTTCTATGAATTTGGTGAAAAAACTCCAATGTGTTGGTGCGTTGTGTGTTAAATACCATCTTCCTTATTTGAGTTATATTGGTCATCATTTCCTATAGGTAATCCCACTATACATCCCTGAAACATGGTTGGTTTCATTCGAACATATTTCTGCACAGATTTCAGCCAACTGTTGGCTTTATGGTTCCATTTGTTGTTTTTTACACACCCCTAGAACTGAGTGAAAAACAATTCCCAAAACATAGGCATTTGTAGATGATTTTTTTCTATTCAAAATTGCCATACAAATCGTTGAAAGCTACCATTTTGGCTGGTGAAGCTTTCAGTTGGTGAAACAAATCCCCATGCAGATAATCACATGTGGAGAATGACATGGGAACATATAAATCCCAGTTGGAAACAAAATTCCATGTGGTGAGCAGTGTTCAAAACCCTCCTTCGTCCCTTTATACTGCTTGGTGAATAGGATTTCCTATGATGGATTGTGATAATCTCCAATGTATGTTTGTATACATTCACACACATATTATATATATACTGGTTGGTGGTTTGGAAGATTTTTTCTTTTCCATAATATATGGGATAATCCTTCTCATTGACTAATATTTTTCAAGATGGTTAAAACCACCAACCAGTATATATATATATTATAGGATAGTAGTTTTTAACTCCCAATAGCATCAACCAACAGTTTTTTTTTTTTCACAATGCTCAGTTATCTCAATTTTCAAAAAGCACCCTCCAAAGAGATTGAACAGTGAAATCCTACGAAAAAATAGTGGCAAATCAGATTTTTCTATTCAATAGGATTAAATAATTCATATTAAAATCGTGGTAAATACCGCTACTATTCATATTAATAGTGGTGTAATGAGTGTTTTTTTTTCAACAACAACTCCATGATTTTGGTCTTGCCAAGCCCTCACAAAGCAGCGAGGCTATTTGGGGCAGAACCAGGGCTTACTCATTGCTGCCGCGGCGGACACCAACCGTGTGGGGCAGGTGGGATTTCTGGGCGAAAGCGGAGCCAGTTTTCATCAGTCATTATATATATATATCAATGGATTGGTTTAAGGGAAAATTTGCAGGAAAGCCCCATATTTAATGGGCAAATCGATGGTTTCCTGTAAATTTTCCCTGAAACCAATCCATTGAATATATATATATATAGGATACAATGTCAACCCCGGAGTAATAAACCATGGTTTAAAAAAGAGGGGTGTATTTGGTACTCCCCAAATAGTCATAATCTGATACTTAAATGGTATCCTCCTAATTAAACAACCTAGGGGTTTCTTAATCCAGGGTTGACATTGTATAGGGCGTATGTATATATATATATATATGTATATATATATAGGAGAAAAAACAAGTTTTTTTTGTTTGGTAGCTAAGCCATTAAATATATATGATTTATATAGGAGAAATCCTATGGACATATATGGAAATCATGGGGTGTAACTATGGATTTATAGGATTTAACATAGCCATGGAAAATCACCATTTTCAGTGGGTAAATCAACTAATTATAAATGGCCATGTTCAATAGCAAACTGTTAGTTTACCAGAGGGTACCGTTGTCCCATCTCAACGTACTAGTTGGTCGAAAACGGTTCCGCAAATATGAGTTATAAGAAGCAACCCAAAATTATGCACAAATCAATGGGAATTTCAGGATCCTAAAATGGAGGTACCTACCATATATAAGGCCTATGTAAGGCCTATGTAAGGGGATATACCCCCAAAATATGACCTTATATGGTACAGTACCTCAATTTTAGGATCCTGGAATTCCCATTGAACAAATGCAAGTTGCATTAAATTGTATATAAAGTAACAAACAATGGGATGTCTCAAATAGAACATGTAAATTTAGTCAAGAAGAAAAAGGGACATAGCTTCCAAGACCCTCAGACGTCCATAAACATTGGATGATCTGGAATTCCAGCATGTTGCTTTGGGTTCTTTTGAGGGTTTCACGACAAACCCAGACGCGTTTTTGGGATATGAACGCAGGTCGCACGAGTCTTACTCCAGTTTCTGGCAACCGAAGAGGATTCCAGCTATCACAAGAAATTAGCTACCCTCCGGTAAACTAACATAACTATGGAAAATAACCATTTTCAATGGGTAAATCCACTATGTCTATGGCCATGTTCAATCGCTATTTTGACATAACCAGAGGGTAACACAAGTTGGCAAAGGGACATCCCATCTTTGCAGAACAGAAAAATTCACATCCGCCCAGAGAGTGAATCACTTGCCACTGGCATCCCCATCATCGCGATATGCCCATCATCAATCTGGTTGGTGGTTGACCTACCCCTCCGAAAAATATGAGTTCGTCAGTTGGGATGATGAAATTCCCAACTGAATGGCAAGTCATAAAACATGTTCCAAAGCACCAACCAGTCAAAACACTTGGAAAACCCACAGTCCCAATAATGATATCACAACCGACCCAAAAATGGGGAGAACCGCAAGTGTGAGGGGTGTCTGCCTTGGCTTCTGTACAGGATATCTCCCATTTGGGCTGCTTCCACCATTCGCTAAGAGATGTTTTGGATAGTTTGCCAAGCCGACTTTCTTGATATTCATTGAACTAGTTGCTGCAACCTCATCTTCTTCACATCTGTTTGTTGAATTCATGTGTTTAATCATGAATTATCCTTGTTAGTCCATGTTAATCCTACATGTTTCAAATGCCACTCCCGCAAGACTCCAAAATTCCTTAACTCCCCAGTTTCTTTGTGTAAATCCTAGTTTCAGGTCACATTGACCCGAGCACAGATATCGGAGAGAGTCGTAGTAGTGAATAACATGTCATACGCATATCTAAACCTCTTATATGTGGGTTTTTCCAGTTGAGCCATCTAACAATAGCTTCTTGCTTGGTTATGAAATAGGGATTCGTACAACCTCAACTTTTGAGGCTTCATTTCCTCTATCAAGTTGCTGGATCTTCCATGATCTGATTATCATACACATTTGAAGCCACATGTCGGAACTGGCTTAGAATATACTTATGATCCCTCATGTATATATATATATATATACATATTATATACATAGTCACTGGTTGGTGGTTTGGAACATGAATTTTATGATTTTCCATTGAGTTGGGAATGTCATGATCCCAATTGACTTTAACTTACCTACATTTTTTCAGAAAGACTATAGGTGGCTCAACCACCAACCAGATTTTATCATTAACCATCATTAACCATATAATAACCATTAATATTAACCATTAATATTAACCATTAATATTAACCATGAATATTAACAGTATATTACCAACCAATGGTAGGTGGCTCAACTACCAACCAGTATACATACTTTTCGTCTGCGATGTTTCGGAGGTTTTCCTCCAATCCCTGACGCTCCATCCGCAGCTCTCAGGTGGGTGGTCCTGAGCTCTGGCGTTTGGCGCCAGCGAAACGGAAGTCCGACAACCACGGAGCACACCCCGCGCACAAGGCCCGGTGACGCGAGTGACGCCATCGGCGAGGGCGAGATTCGTTTCAGCACGCGGCTGGCGTTTGAAGTGCGGGTGGTTTCAATGGTTTTTCCAGGTGGGTTGTGATTTTTTGGTGGTTAGGTTGTTTTTTTCACCAGTTAAAATCCAGTTTGTTTCACCATTTCCTACCCATTTCCTAAACGAGCCCATGGTGAATCCCACGGACCCCATTCAACAGTTGGGCTACCCAAAGCGATTTGAGAATGCCTAGAGAAGTGATGTGAATCTTTGCCATCATTCTCTGGTTGGTTTCAAACATGGCTTTTATTTTCCATTTCATATATGGGATGTCATCCTTCCCATTGACGAACTCATATTTTTCAAGATGGTTATTGCACCACCAACCACTTATTTTAAGCTTCGCCAGAGACGGGTTGGGCCTTTTAAAGCCGTGCCGTCCTCTGCTGCATAGAAAAAAACACGGTCCTGCGCACCTGATCGCATGGGCTGAGCCGCGAGCGGCAAAACCCAGAATTTGGGAGTGCAAGGTCACTCAAGGACACTGGAAAAGATCGTCGGTTGTGAAGGTTGGGGGTACATGGGGGTACCAGGAGTTTCTGATTTACACTTAAATCTCTTTACCTATAATATAATAGAATATATATATATATATTATAAATTTGTTTGACTTGGACTTGAACTTCAATCTTTGTACATATCATTACATCATTACATCTATATTCCTATACACATATTCCATGTTATATCCCCATTATTCCCTATTGTATGGTAAAACCAATGAGATTTAGATCAACAAAAATTCAGAAACTCTCGCGAATTAGATCAGATTCATCGCCAACCATTTAAGGGGCCGAGTCTTCTCCCACCTCCAGGATCCTCCAGGGTGAATCCCACATGATCAGCCGGTTTTTTACCGAAGTCAGTTCGCTAAAACATCTGAAACCACCATCTGAAAACTATGCGATGGTAAGATATGTATGGAATATCAATGGAATATGAATGGAATATGGTAGATATATCCCTAAAACTTATGGTAGATATATCTGATATATCTATAGTAAATGGAATATTTTCTGGAATATCACAATGGAATATGTCAATCAACTATATATCTCGCTGGTGGTTTGGAACATTTTTTTTATGTTTATCGGCTAATCCCATGGAATCCATGGCGATTTTCAGGAGTTGGTGCTCGCCAAGGCGAAGAAGATGAGGGGCGACGATGGAAAATCATCAATGGTATCATGGTGAATGGATGTAAATGGTAGATATATATATATATAGATCTATAGAATCTATGGTTTATGGTAGATTTTATAATTATATATCATGGAATTAGGAAATGTTTACATAGCTGTAGAACATCACCATATTTAATGGGTAAATCAACGAACTTTCTATGGGCAATTTTCAATAGCTACGTTAAATGACCAGAGGGTATATGTAAATGGTAGATATATCTATAGAAGATATGGTTTATGGTAGATGGTATAATTAACATAATGGAATTAGGTTTGACTATGGAGTTTAACTATGGTTTGTGGTAGATATATACCATCATCCATCAATAGTTTAACTGTGCTTTATGGTAGATATACAGTATCTATAGTAAATGGAATATGAATGGAATATGAATGGAATATGAATGGAATATGCATGGAATATGAATGGAATATGAATGGAGTATGAATGGAATATGAATGGAGTATGAATGGGATGACTATGGGATATACCCTGAGATATGCTCTGGTAATTAAAGGTGGAAATTGGACAATACCCAACAACACCGGAGGATACATCCATTTCTTATGGCAAGTTTATGACGAAAATGAGGATAAAATCCTATTCATGGAGGGTTTCTAAGGGGAAAATCATCGAACTCAATGGGAGATGTTCCAATTTGTCCAGCCAGCCACCTTTGATTACCGGAGAGTATCTGGAGGTTTCCGTTTTGTCATGGGGGTAGCCCCAAATCATCCAAAATCTGACTGACAGAATTATAGTATTGAAACAACCATGGTGACTTGGGGATATTTTTTGAAACCCTCAGAGGCAGTGGATCAGTGGTTGGTACTGTAAATTTGGTAAATGATTGGGGTCTGATGATTACCCTCTGGTAAACGTTTACATAAAACTATGGACAGATCCACCATGCTATGAATGGGTAGTCATCAACTATGTCGACTGGGCCATTTTCAATAGCTATGCAACAGATTACCAGAGGGTAAATCCCATCTAGAAATCACCAGATTTTTGTTGGTTTTTTATCCCATTAAACTACCATTTTTCATAGTTAAATCCCATGGAAAATCACCATTTTTCAATGCTGGTTGGCCACATCATTACTAGTTGCCGAGCCAGGCATCACTTTGGGATGTCGTTCGGAACTGGGTATACCTATACAGACTGGGCCACTGGGACAGTTCTGAATCCAAAAAACAGAACGATCCATTTATAAAGTCTACAAGGTGGGGCCCCCTAGATAGCTAAGTTGGTGCACATAACTCCAATAACTATGGTTTATGGTACTTATAACTATAGTTAATGGGATTTATAAACCATCTTATAACTGGGGGGCCCCACCTTGTACCTATTACAAATGGTGATTTTCCATAGCTATGTTAGATTACTAGAGGGTATCCTGGGGTTCCATAATCAACATATTCATATAACCATTATAACCATCAGAATACCATCAAAGTTGGTGATGTTGTAGAATATATGTACTGGATATAACCAACCATAGGGTATGTGGGTTTGGAAGTGGATTATACCCCCAAATGGCCAGATAAGACAAATCCTTACAATTGATTGGATAATATAACTATATGATTATATATATATATACATGTATATTACTGTAACATACATATAGATATATATCAAAACATGTATAAATATATAATAAATTATATAATATATTATGTTTACATTATTTCCTTGTTTTTATATGTTGATATTGCAATATATATGTATATATGTATATATATATGTATATATGTATATATGTATGTGTATATGTGTATATATGTATATATGTATATATGTATATATGTATATATGTATATATGTGTATATGTGTATATGTGTATATGTATATATGTATATATATATATATGTATGTATATATGTATGTATATATATGATGGGGGAATTATCAATGGACAACAACTTTACAACAATAGATCTGGGTACACTACAACTACAAGAACACCGTCACTTGAAATGACGGGAACTGTAGTGGTAATCCTAAAATGGTTGTGCTTTTCAGAGGGGTGTCTTACGAAATTATATTCCCATATGTATATATATATATTATATTTGGATGATTATTATATAGGTCTAATGATTGTTAAGTTCTGCAGCTATGTATACAATTCTGTGGTTATTGACAGTTATTACCCTCCAGTGAATTAACATAGACCCTGAAAAAAACTCATTTTTAGTGGAAACCAGTCTTGCAACCCCTATCTATGTTAATTTACTGGAGGGTAACAGTTATTAACCATTTTTCGATCATATAACTATCATCTCGAGCTAGATCATCAGCAGTTTGTTTCAGCGTGAACATGTCCATCATCATTGTTAAACAAATATCGTTATAGCTGTTTAAATGGTAAATAAAATCCCTAAATTGTGGAACATACCATGGTAAATATTAGAAAATCTCTTTCTCTTCAAGCTTCTTTCAATGTTACAGTATGTGGTGTGGCTGGGAAAGTATCGTGATGCCCCATGACTCATGGCTGGAGGATGACAGGGAGACAAGTTGAAGCAGATGATTCAGATCTCTTGGGTGCAATCTGGAAGCATCATCCTGGGAGGTTGGGCGAGTTTGCTGGATGACTGGTTGGTGACTGGAACAGACTGGAACAGACTGGAACAGACTGGAATTTTCAATGACTGGAACCATTCAGAAAAGGGAATGGAATGGAAAAATCATCCCAACTGACGAACTAAGTCCATGATTTTTCAGAGGGGTAGGTATACCACCAACCAGATGAGCTCCTTGAATGAAGTGGAATGGTGGGTCAGGTTGAGAAGCACAGCAACAATCCTTGTTTTTCGATTGATGTCAGAGCAACAGATGTCACACATAATGCCAGAATTTATGTCAGAATATATGCTAGAATGTGAAATATCACAAATGGAGGTTTGCAGAAATAGGGGTACCCCCCCAAAATCATTCATTTTAATAGGATTTTCCATTATAAACCATCCATTTTGGGGTACCCCAATTTTAGGAACCTCCCATATAATGATCATTCAATTTCTGACTTTGAAACCCAGGTCACCACACAAGACTGACCCTGCCGTTGGATTGAGTATGAAAGGGCCTGTTGTGGTACTGACATATAGCGACTACCAGGGTTCAACAACTGGAAAGCCAAGAATGCTCCATTTTGAGAACACCGAACATTTGAATATCGTTGGATATCCATAACAGATTGATTAAAACCGATTAATATTGCACAATCTTGCATGTAGATTGGTATAGATATGAAAGATGCTCTGTCATATATCCAACAGGCAAGATTATGCTTGGTGATTTATTCAAGATCTATGGCAATTTCAGGTGCTTCCCCCCAATCTTAAACACCTTGAAGATGGTCCTAAACATGTGTAGATTCCCTATGAAAAACCCGTGTTTTTTTTTTGGGGTGTTTTATCAATGGCTAAAGGGGATATACCGTAATATACCCCCAAAATATGACCGGAAAAATGGTACTAACGTACCTCCATCAATTGGATCCTGGAATTCCCATTGATTTAATATGCAGGCGACTTTATGATTATTCCATAATTGGAAGATCCAACCTCGATCCATCGACGGCAGGTGTAGCAGCGCTGAGTTTGCTGGTACCTGGACAGCAAGGGGGATTGGCAGTGGCAAAGATGGATAAAACAATACTATACAATACTAAAAGCTGCAGTTTACCGTCAAACAGATCGGAATAGAATGATGTCTTATGGGAATAGAATTTAGGATAACATACGGATAGCCCCTGGTCGTTTGTTGCAGTTTGATTTTTGAGAACTCTAAACCATTGACGTACATAAACGGACGATGGTCTTGTATACTTGGAGGGTCACCCCACTCAAGAAATGGCTTAATAACCACAAATAGTTATGAGCTCAAGAAGCGGTTCAATAACCATGGACCATAGTCATATGATGTTATATAATGTTATATTACAATGATTTATCTATAGTGATATAACTAGAATGATATATGATGTTATATAATATATTGTTAATAACCATAGGGTTTCTTTATAAACTAGTTATGTAAAGTGGTTTAATAGCCATAGTGTTTAACAACCCTAGTTAATAACCATAATGTTACTAACCATATATATAATCCCACTTATGCAAACATATTTCATGTTACAAAACCATATACTTAATGTATAACCATAACGTTTGTATCTATCTATATCTATATCTATATATATATAGTTATATTAGAACCCAGTTATAACCCAGTTTATTTCACAGGATTTCATCCCAATCTGCAGAGGCCAATTTTTCCTTTCTCCGTGGGATGATCATATCTGGTTGGTGAATTAAAAGATGGCCTTTATCCCAGATATATAGCATGAATATATGGCTTTAATTTGGATAATACATGCTATATGGCTTTAATATATGGCTTTATTTAATGAATTATGATGGCCTTTTAGATGGTGAATAATTCTCACATATGGCTTTAATATATGTCATTTTCATTGATGTGATGAATTATACATAGATCATGAGATGAACATATCTGGTTGGTGGTGACTGGAACCGACTGGAATTTTGAATGACTTTCCATTCAGTTGGGATCAGAATCATCTATAAATGGAGATTCGATAGGGATTTTGTGGAGATATTAAGTGATATAATGAGATTTATATCTGGTTGGTGGATCATCCCAACTGACTTTAATTCCATGATTTTTCAGAGGAGTGGCGAAAAACCACCAACCATATTTTATCATTAACCATCATTAACCATATATTAACCATATATATTAACCATATATTAACAGTATATTACCAACCAATGGTACAGTAATGGGCCTTTTGCGCTTCGCATTTGCTGCGCCAAACGTCCATCAGTCCAACTCAACACCTGAATGGGATGATCCTCCAAGTTTTCGGTTGGTGGTGAGTCGTGTGTGTTTTTGTCGACAATATGATGTGACATAGATGGCTATGAATCAATACCTATTAATACCATTTTTAGAGGGATGAAGATCCATTTACCAGCTATTTTTATGTTCACCAGGGGTACAAGGTTTTGACCCACTGCCATATTTATATACTATTATAGTAGTAATATAATAATATAGTGGAATGTATCATATGTAATATAATAGTTTCATTCCATGTGCTAATAATTACTAGTATACTATGTAATTTACACGGTAATATGATGTATGTGTGTTACATTATATATATACATATATATCCGTTATATACATACACAATCCACCTCAATTTTTTTTGGTTAAAGAAAGTGCTGATCCTCGTGCTCTGAAAATGGGGTCAGTTTTGAAAGATCCCGGGGTTTTCAATAGTCTTTTTGATGTCTTAGAGAATGACGGTTTGTGATTCCAGGCCTGATTGTTTTTTTTTTCAGAGTCCTTTTCCCTTAAAAAGGTGTACCAATCCCTCCCGTTCCCCAACATGGTTCAAAAGAAACATAGAAGGAGGAGAGGGGAAAAAGGGAAATTTGCATGACGTACCATCAAAGACCACCCCAACATGGATGAAAAAGCGTGGCCCATCGGTGCCGTGACCAAAAAGAAGACTTATTGTGGGAGTAGATAACCCTTCATGAGACGTTGGTTATCCATTTTGTGGATGGTTCAGTTGTTCATTTCCACTTGTTTGATTGGAACACCCGCGTATTTTGTTTGTCAAACCATATAACTTGGTGTGTTGAACAGCCTTTCATGGCAAGAGCCACATTGTTTGGTTTAACACCACCATCGTTTGGATTGGCATTTTTTTGTTGGGTTTAGTTTCAATCCAAACAACGAAAAAACATGTGTTGATGATTTCCCCCTCTAAGGCGGTCCTTGGATCGGTTATTGGACTCAGCAAATGCTACTGTGGTCTTGGCTGCAATGGGTGTGATGTGGAACTTCCGAGCGGGCTGAATGTGAAGCTGTATGAAAATAAGGTGCTGTTTATGGGTATTGAAGTACGTTGGGGTTTGTTGGTTTAATTATCACACATAACAATTTCAGTGGTTTAAGCAGCAAATAATCAAACATGGGCTTTGCGTCGTAGCAAACATGTGGCGATTTCAATGGAAACCAAGAAACATTGGCCGTTTTCTGGCCAAACCGTGGAAAATGGGGGGGTTTTCGTGAATCAACAATGACAAAAGATCATCAACACCTCGTATCAAGTGTATTCAAGTATACTATCAATACGAATTGGGATCACAATGTTAATTGAAACAGAACATGTGAGGGGTTTGGTCAGGCTGTTAACTATATAATACCCTTTATGTCATATATCAATCATCCCTGTATAGTATATATGGATGTGTATGAACATATACGTATGATTAATGTTTTGCCGCACACATTTCTGGTCAGTTGGATTTCCAGCCGAAACCCACGGTTTTTGGGTCCATTGGTGCACTATGGTTGCACTCCACCGGTTGATGTATTCATGGTTGATGTAAGGGGAACAACAGACGGGAAACCGTCATAATGGATCAAAACACATATGTTTGCAGATATTCCCGTGCATCAACCGAATGCACCTTTTTTTGCAGTGTTCAACCTTTGAGAATCCTTCTTGGGTCTGTCCCATTTCATTCCAATTAGTTTCGTTGTGTTTTTTTTTGTGTGTAGTTACTTCCATCCTTGTTCCTGATGGACAAACTTGCACCATCTGCACCATCCTCCAGTCAGCATTTTTCTAGGTGGTATGATTACATGGTATGTTTACCATTCCAAGTCATGGGTAGTTCATGACATTGTTTTAACCACATGATGTTGGTTGGATTTCAGTTTCAGGTGATGTATCAAACCAACCTGGGAACGGTGTTCCACTTACCCTCTGGTAAACATACAAAAAGCTATTGAACATGGCCATTTATAGTGGATTTTCCATAGTTATGTTCGTTTACCAGAGGGTAAGTCAGTCAGACATGTCTTAGACAGGATTCAATGATTGTTGCGTGCGAGTTGAAAAATCGCCACATGTTTTCCCGCTTGAAGTCCACTTTCATACTTCCAACTGATTTGTTTCAGGTGTGCCTGTAGGAGTTCTTTGTGAGAACCACAGGAAAATCAACAAGATCCTTGGGAGTACACAAAAATCACAAATGTGTTGGATTCCATTCATAAGCTTTGGTAGTCAAAGATGGTTGGAAAATTATCCATATATTGATTCAACCGGGGTTTCAAATTGGTTCAGCGGCTGAATCTCTTGGTCTTTTTTTTCGGATTTTGAAAAGGGCCTCATGGCTGAAACCCTGGAAATCGCCCCTTATTTCGTTCGGGGATTTCCAAAAAAAATGGACCATTTCCCATCTATGAATTTATGGACCTATGGATGATTCTCCCATTTATAGTGGATTTTCCCATTGAAAATGGTGATTTTCCAGAGTTATGTTAGTTTCCCATCCATTTTCCCCATTCAGCGGATGGGGATTTCAACAAAAAATCCCACTGATTCAGCTAGGAGAAAACGGCCATCACCTGCCACCACGCTTGTCGCGTAGCCAGGTGATTGCTGCTTGTGCCTCTCCCTGTGTTCCTGCATGAGGCAGACAAAGCCGTGCCACACGACTGTGCAGTTTCTATATCCCATTATATAACCATATAGAACCATTAAACACCGATTAAAAGTGGTTGAATAACCATGGACCATGGTTATATCATGTGTTATATATATATATACAGTTTATATACAACCATTAAACAATAGATAGTTAATGTATGTTAATGGATGTTTATTCCCTCCAAATACGGTGATAATATGTGAAAATAGGTTTTGACCCGTCCCTATATCTGGGTAGATTACAACGGCCTCACTGCGACCTCACTGGAATCATGGTTAGTAAGGGGAATCATCCCCAATATGGTCTTATTTCAGGTTAGTGAAATCTTATAATTTACCCAGATATGTAACCATCAAACACCGACTATAGCAAGCCCCAAAAAGATGCCGAAAAGTATTTCCAAGAGGTGATCATGATTTTTACCTCATATGTCAATGTTTCCCACTTTAAACAAAAAGAACAACGCTAATCTTGGGATGCTATAGATGATATATGAGAACAGGTCATCAATACATTTCATAGATTTCTAGTGGCCAAATTTTAGGAGTTTTAATATGTTCGATGAATGACCATTTCATCAAGATTAACTATTAACCATGGTTTTTTACCATGGAACATATGGGAATGGGTCACAGCGCCGCTTATTTTCCACCCCGGGGGATCAACATCCAAAGCCATGCCTATCCACTGGGGTTTTTAGCCCAGGGATACCAGGGGTTTGACTCTAATAATGCTCCATCTACTTACGTATAGATTTATGCAATATATATATATTATACAGTATATATATACATACATATTCCATTACATATATTCCATCATATTCCCATGAATCCGATTGTTGCAAAAGCGACTAAGACCTATCATTTGGGGGCTCCTTCCTGTTAGGGTTTCCCCAAATGATGATTGACCACTGAATCTTTGGGTACCCTATGGTACCCTATTTAATTGCAGGCATTCCCATTTGCCATTACATGTCAATAGCAAATAACTCCGAAGTCCCAATATATATTTAGCCTTACTATAGTTATCTACAGTTCTAAATCCAACTTAGCCTAGTTATAAACCAAGAAACACCTATCATTCGGTGGCAGCTTCCTGCAACATCATTCAGTTTTTTTTGTCGTGAATGTTCATCAGTGCGTTTGGTTTGGACAGCCTTACTTGGCTTGGACAGTTCAGTTACAGCAATGACTCGGAATGAAACAAAACCCATTCCTGGAATGATATAGTTTGTTATATATATATAAGTATGATTATATACTGTATGACGTTTACGGATATTCAATGATCATATGATGTCAGGCCGTTTGTGTGGCGGAGTTTTTGGGGTCTGGGTACTTCATGTCAGAGAATCTGAAGAAAAAATCGTGTTGTTTTGACAAAAGAGTGATCAACAAATGTTGAGAAATGACAGTAAAACCGATGTGTCATATGTTTTGAATTTCTGTACGTTTTCAGTCTGTCACAGTGTGTCAGGAGCGAAGGCTTTCGGTCATGGGAACAGGCGGAAAAACATGAGGTTGTGTTTCTGGGTTTGAGGTGGTGTTACGGGGCGGGCAGGGAGGCATTTTGCAATTGTTATGCGCTGATGCGGAAACATGTGTGAAGGAAATGCGGGCAGGGTTCAACACACATGTTAAACAGTTAAACCACATCATTTCTTTGTTTGAGTGTTTGAAGAGACATGCCACAAGGAAAGGTTGGGCCTGGTGATTGACAAAGATCAGCAAGAATTGATGCATGAAGAAAGGGATTTGAAATTATTGTCAATACGCAGGACATGGTGGCAGAAGAAATAAGAAAAAATCCAGCAGTAGTTGTTCTTTTGATAGAAGGTAGAAAAACACTCAATGTCTGGTTTGGGGAGGTGTTCAATTAGAATCTCTGTCAAACTCTTTTTGAATAGCTGGAGAAGATAGAGGGACAAGTTTTGACCATCTTCTTGGCTTTTGGCATGGGGTGAGAGCAGCGACAGTCTGCCGGATATGGAAACAGGAATGCATGGGAGTGTGATTCTCACTGCATTTTTTCCCACAGCGGGAATGAACATATTATTTTCAAAATCATTGTGCCGAGGGATTGCAGGTGTAATGTTCGATCGGGGGGGTCTGAAAGTTGATAGGTTAATGAGCCGTTGGCATCAATATGTTGCCTGGAAATTTGCATTTATAGGATGGCATGGTTGAGGTCACCGATCTGGCGTTTACAGAAATTAAAGCTGCAATGTTTTTTCATGGAGGATGATGTTTTGACCGCCTGTTTGCATATGTATTCCCAATTGCTTGAGTGTTATATTACGTGGCAATATGTTTTTGGATTGCTGGATGCAGTAACATGCTTGAATATGGTATTGATAGGCTAGTATGATGATGCAAAATGTGAGGGACAAACGGTTCGTTTTTTTTTTGTGTCAATGACGTGGTTGGAATGACAAGGCAAAGCGGTTTGATCATAATTTAGATCGTGGTATGGAAGGGAATGAAAACATGTTGGCGCTGGATTATATGGTTCTGTTGATTTGTAAGTTCGTGTTTTGTTCGGGTATCTGAGATATAGAAGAAAAGAGCATCGGATAAACGGGGATCGTTATTTTGCTGACATGGAATCTTACAGCGTAGAATTTCATGATTGAAAGCCAGGAACAGGTGTTTGCAGACAGGATATGATCCGTTTTCTCGCAGCCTTGAGGTTTTGGAATATCGGGTTTCAAATATATTGCTACTTAGTATGACTGGTGGCTTAATGGAACTTCGGTGGTTCTAGATGGGTTTGCGTGTGTGTGTGTGTGTCTGTGTGTATGTGGCTTTGTTTGAAAAATCCTGTGGATTCGTGGATTGATGGGCGATGGAGGTGTTCTTTTTGGAAGGAACGGCTGGGCGGATTCGGCGGGGGTTTACACTGTGTCAAGGAGGTCCTTGGAAGAAAGGGGCGAAGTGATTCAAGATCATTGTGCGAGGCATGTTTCGATGTATTGATGTGTAGGTGCAGATTGAGGTCGCGGGTTAAAAAGCATGGGTTTTTGAATGAGTGTGGCAAATGTTGGGGGAATATTTGGGGTCAAAGAAGATGAACAGGTAGGAATGTCTTGAAAGCTAGGATGGAATTTCTGTAGTAATGAGACAACAGGTTACCAAGCACGAAAAGAAATGGCTTGCATAACAGTTGGAGATTGGAGGCTGAGGTTGATTCAACTGCGGAACAGATTTGAGAGGATCATTTTTTTCCGTATATGAATTCGTGTATCGCAGCTCTTTCCCCCTCAAGACGGTGTAAGTGCGGCAAAACTGCTCAAAGAAGCATGAGTCGCGGGGGGGGAACACCCAACTGCCCGCAGTGTGGCGTGACCCAGCTCACCACGCTGTCGGTTAAACTCCGGACGACGTGGGAGGACAAGTCGGTTCTTCATTTTCGAGAGGTTATCCAATTCTAATTGAAGCGATCGTCGCATTGTATGATGAGGTGACAGAAAGGTTTTTGGGAACTATAGGTCGTGAAGGCAGTTCGACGCAATTCTGTTCCTTGACTTGGTGGATGTATATGTTTTGGTCATGTTCCTGCTCGAACGCAGGAGTACTACGGGCTGAAGTGGCGGGTCACTCCAGGTGGTCAAGCCTTGTGGCTTTACTGCCTGGAGTGTCACCAGCAAAGGTGGCCACAGGACAGGGGCTTAACTGTGTGGGCTGCTTTTGTCAAATGGTGGGAGCATTGATTGTGTTTTCATGAAGGAAGTATCTTTTGGAGAACATACGTACGGCTTTTCATACTATGATTTTAAATGATACTAGTCTATTGTCATTGAATCGGGGTTTCCGCTATTCTATTCTTTCCTGGTCCCACCTGTTTGATGCGGCCAGGATGGGCGGAGCAAGAGCCGTTTCTGCAAACCAAAGGGCCCCGCGGCCGTGACCCCTCCCCCGCACCAGGGGAGCATGCAGGGTCATGCGCGCGGACGGTTCCTGGTTTCACTTAACGAGCCCACCTCCCGAGGCTGGGAATTTAGCTTCGGTACATTCTTTTTTTTTGCCTTGGATGTTGCGGACAGGTTGCCCCCGCCACCCAGACGCCGCCGCAGAAGAAGAGGAAGTTGCAGCGCCAGGCAGGTCAACAATTAAAAATTTGCTTGGTTGTGGCAATGCAAGCATGGTGTAGCGGACTTGGGGTTTTGAAAGGAGTTCTATTTGAAATTGTGTAATTTAGATGCGCTATTGGGTTCATTTGACGTGTTCGTTTCTGACTTGGTCATTTTTTGTTGGTGGCTGGAATTAGGAAGAGACATGACGCAGCATGTGCATTAAAGGGAAAGCGTGCATATTTGCGACAGGCTGCTTCTTCTTCTTCCGCTCCGCAGCAGCCAGCGGCGGCTGCTCGGAAGCGGGCAAGTGGTGTGGCACCGGGAGTAGGTCAGATTGTTTTCAGCGGAAATTGGCATTATTCTCCGGATTTAAAAAGGAACCGCGTGATTTGCAGATCCGATTTCTTGTTTGAAAAAAGGGGAAAGGCTGTGGATTCAACGTGCGTTTGTCTTGTCGGGCATCGAGTGGATTTACCAGATCGGAAGGGTATGGATAGACGGGAATGTTTGAGCAGTTATCTTTGAAAGTAAAAACTTTGTTGGCGTTTGAACGGTTTATTTGCGAGTGTTTTGCAATGTTTGTTCAAAGGTTGATAAGTCTCATGAGGGTCAAATGGTACAGGCGGCTTCGCGCCCTTCGTCGGGCTCCTCGACGAGCTCCTCGACGAGCTCCTCGACGAGCTCCTCGACGAGCTCGGCGTCTAGCTCGTCGTCGACTTCGGTGCCACGGCGAGAATGCGATGGCTGGAAAGTAATGCGTGCTTGATTGTATTGGATTGGCTTTTGGATTTTCAAAATGTTTTCAAATTTAAACGAAAGGGTTATGTTGCATAGGTTGATGATTAAATGTCTATTTTGGATATGGTTGGTTGTGGAGCGATGTGTTGATGGGCGAGTGTTGTGACATGCGGATGTGAAACTAAACGGGGGCTGATGTGGACTGTATTGGTTCTGACATGGGTGACTGGTTTGGCGAATCCCTTTTTGTGTTTTTTGCTGAGGGCTTAATATGGTACTGCTTGTTTGTTGGGCCTTTTCGCACGGTCCTAAGTGAATTGAATTTTTTCAGGCACGGAGGCGCCGTCGCACGGCGAAAGCCACGCCAGTGGGTGCAGTGGCTCCCGTGCCCTGGCCGCAGGACTTTGGATTGAACTTGCTCAGTGCTGTTCGAAAGTGGTGACGGCATTTCAAAACAAAATCGAACACGAGGTGACTTAAATCACGGTGCAAACCAAAAAAACATACGACACCGCGGGGGTGCAAGTCACAACATCAGCCGCAAAACCTAGAAAATAACATCAAAAAAGGAAACTATTTTTAGGTAGGCAGCCAATTCCGACTAGCTATATACATGGAAGGAAAGATGGATGTGATGTGTCCACTGATATGTAGATGGAAGAATGAGACAGAGAGATGGATTCGTAGCAGGAAAGTTAGATGCATAGACGAGACGCTGGGATGGACGAATGGATGGATGGAGACAAGACGAATGGATGAATGGATGGATGAAGACGAATGGATGAATGGATGGATGGCCGAGTTGCAGACATAGGATGGGCGAGCGGGTGAGTGAATGGATGGAGACAATGAGATCGGTGGATGGATGGATGCATGGATGGATGGATCGATGTTGGAATGATATTCAGACAGACCATCGGATGATGAATGCATGTATATGGGTGGGAGGGGGAGGGTGGGTGAACATTTGACGAATGGATGTTTGGACGGCGGGGTGGATGGATGGGTGAGTGGACACAGAGAGGTAAATGAATGAATGGATGGGCAAAGGGACGGGTGTGTGGATAGAAGGAAATAATATATGAATGGGTGGATGGATGAGACACGGAGAGAGATAAGCGGTTGGATCTGTGGAGGGAGACAGAACATTTAATTAGATAATTTGCACAGAAAATGCTGCCCGTATCCCTATACTGCTATACTACCTACCTTGAATTGTGCTGCTACATGACTACTACCTGTACTACCTACAGTACGAATTCCATTCCCTCAAAATAAGGTAGCTGTTCTTCGATGATGTTGTAGCAAACCCTGACCCCTGCATTCTGCCCGAGGATGTGTTGGAGGGAAACCCCCTCCACCCCGCCATGTGGTGGCGGCAGCGGCTCTTGGCAGCACCGGATGCCTCAAAGGACTCCATGGCCCTGGTGGCAAGGTTCGGGCTGCCAGGCAAGCCTCTCAGGATCGCCTCGCTCTATGCACGTGGAGCCCAAAGCGGAATCGGCAAGATATACCTGAGACTTTGAAACAAGGCTCTACTATGCCGCGTTCTTTATCTTGAGCGAGCCGTCGCCAGGTCACCCGAAATTGAACGATCCTAACACGAGGACCGGTGGCGGTGGTCGGGGACAGCAGGCCAAAGCCGCGTCACCCGTTGCCCAACCCGCACCAAAAGGCGATGGAAAGGCAATGGGAGGCGCTCTGATTTAGGTTGGTGCGTTGTCAACCACGTTGTGATGCGTGCGAATCTGAAGAGTTTGATCCATGCCTCCATTGCACGGGACACTCCACCCAACCGCGGGAACGGTCAGATCATGCGAAGGCCGGAGGTTGTTTCGCGCCCGCGTTCGTTTTTTTTGCTTGAGCCAAAACAGCTGCAATAAAACAAAAGAAATATAATGCCAATGCAACAATTTTCCAAGATGTCTGAAAAGGAAAATCATCCGTGCAGGTGCGTGCACGCAGACAGACAGACAAACAGACAAGGACATACAGACCGACCGACAGGCAGATAGAAGTGACTGACAGAGACAGACCGAGAGAGACAGACAGACGGACAAGCAGGCAGAGACAGACAGAGAGACAGACAGGTAGAGACAGAGACAGACAGTGGCACACAGTGACAGACAGCGACAAGCAGGCAGGCGGCCACTACGTAACACTACGTAACACTACGTAACACTACGTAACACTACGTAACACTACGTAACACTACGTAACACTACGGAACACTACGGAACACTACGGAACACTACGGAACACTACGGAACACTGCACTACACTACACTACAGTACACTACACTACACCACGCCACACCACACCACAGTACACTACACTACACTACACTACACTACACTACACTACACTAATTACATCACACTACACTTCACTACACTACACTACACTACACTAAACTAGACTACACCACACTACACTACAGCTACAACTACAACTACGCTACTTTACACTACACTAGACTAACACTACACTACCATAAATTACATTACACTACACTCATTTCACCGCCACAAATGCAGCTGCAACTACACTACACTAATTGCACTACACCACAGCTACAACTCCACTACGCTACAACTACAACTACAGCTGCACTACACCACACTACATCCAGCAGTTGTGGGTGAGGTGACCGACCAGGTGACCACTGCAACCATTGCAGCCGCTCCAAAAGACACAGCTCCAACCACCTTTCGGTCCATCAGTGGATTCGCTCTGCCATCCGGGATTCACAGCAACCAACTTCCCCTATAGGTTTCCTATTTTTGAAACTTCCGCCACCGCCTTGTGCGGAACTACTACTACTACTACTACTACTACTACTACTACTACTACTACTACTACTACTACTATATCTATTGCATTCATTGACATTCTCCTTTTTGGTTGTGAGATCTTGATTTTTGATTGTTAAATCATTGACGTATGGATCCCCTTGCAGTGAGATCCGCTCCATTGATTTCCCATGGCAGGCGTGGGGCTGGCAACAACGATTTGTAACTTGTCGGTCGTCAGGATTCGTCAAGATTCGTCAGGATTCGTCAGGCGGATTTCATCAGAAATCGCTCAACAGTTTGACCAAGAAAATCATCAAAATTAGTGGTTGAAGCAACAACTGCGATGAACAAAACACCAAGTGGAGGTGAAGCCATCCGTTCAATAATTTGATGCCAAACTGAGCAACATACATCAATAATGATGAGCAACATGTGGATGTAATGTGGGTATGTGATGAGTGCACTGTCGATATCGTGTGGATACAATGGTATGTAATCGACCATAGTGGGATATCATTGATATCAGGATGTCAAAAATGTCAGAAACAACCATATGAGTTGGGTACAATGGTACAGCTAACATGGAGGTGTTTGCCACCAAAACATAAATGAAATCGTTAACAAAAAATTGTTTGAACAGTGTTGTCCCCCCCCAAAAATAGAAACTCGTAACCCCCAGATTTGCTTGGTGTTGTTTGGGTAAATCATGTCTATTTGAAACCATTGGATTTGGTGATGCCACAACCCACTCGACAAATTGTAGTGGAGATCTGGAGGCCCCAAAATGTGAAAATTGCCGCCTAAAAATCATCCCAGTTTCGAGGTATGGTTTTCGGGGGTGTTTGTTTGTTTAGTTTTTTTGTCTTACTGTACATCATGTTTTGTTTGTTTTCTTTTCTGGGTAAAACTTGGTTGAGTAGGTTGTATATAGACGTATATATGCCAATTTGTTGTAAAACGGGAATACTTCATAATTTCATACATGTTCATAACCATTATTCTCTCCATATGGGGTTTGTATATCTTGGGGTTCCAGTTGAACGTCCCGATATCAAGGCGCCATGGGTTGACCTTGGAATCAATTTTTGTTCTTCAAATCGACGGCCTTGGGTTGTAAATGAATTAGTAAATGTAGCAGGTACTATAGTATCAGGGACAGTTGGTAGATAACAACATATAACATCATATAACCACCCACTGAAAATGACACTTTATGATACTTTATACTTTATAACAACAACCCACTGAAAATGAAACTTTATGATACTTCATAAACTTATCCATTTTCATAGCTATTCGACAGCGTCGAATCCCTGCGCTTGCGAGGTATTTTTGTGCCATGAAGGAGCTCGAGCAACTGGGCCCGATCGGATGACTCCGCAAGGTTTTGAGGATACGAAAACGACGTATCTATTAAAGTTACGATATAATATTAAGGATACTGTATAAAAACCAATGTATGACATTATTGATGTATATTAAGAAGGATACGAAATGATAGTAACTTTTTTAAATATACATTGGTTTTTATACATTGTTTATGTGATTTTTCATACTTTACCAGGTTAAACGTCAGATTCGTGTTGTTTTTCTTCATGGCAAGCGAGCCATGCCGCCATGCCCTGGCGCCTGTTTCCGTAGACCCTGGGATGGAGGAGCAAAACTCGTGGGTTTATATGGGGTTTAATCGGGTTTAATGGGATTTATTTATTTTTTGATTTATTGGGATATATGATGGTATACCCCTCTTGTAGTTTAACATAGCTATGGTTCAGAGATGGACCATTTATAGATGAATGACCTAGAAATTTCCTATTGAAATGCTGATTTTCCATAGCTATGTTGAATTACCAGAGGGTATCCAACAAAAACGCAGATTCCACTTTTGTAGATTTCAGTTCTGAATTTTCATAATTAATCATAGTCACTTCAAGCATGCAACTCGTTCGACAACTACTGTGATGTGCATGCCAAATAGCACGTGGATTATAACCCACACACAACCCGTGGCCGATAATATGACTAGAGATATACCATGTATACATATAAATGGATATACATGATAATATATATTCATATGCACGATATGTAAATGTTTACCAACGGGTTACAAGCTGGGCTGCCCCAGCAAGGACTGGACCAAAGCAACCTCACTAATTTGGGACACAGCCACATTTGCCAAGTGACAGGCATAGCGTTCATCAGGGGAGGACCACCAACAAGTGTACTGACACAAACGGGATACAGTTATACTATTTCCGCGTATTTTCACCTTTGTTGACCATGCAAAACTCTGTGTGTGTGTTGGGGTCTACCCCGTTTCCGGTCGAACCCATATCATATTTGTTGGAACCTTGTTATGTTGCATTTGAGCTGGTTGGTTTCATTCCCATTCGATTGGTCAGCGACCAGTTTTTTCCCATCCAAACTTCATTGTTCCTGGTAAAGCACCATGTTTGGTAGTATTCCCACTATATACTTTGTTCATGTTTGTTTTTTATCGCATCATAGCCCATGCCCATTAAATATTTCAATTAAAATATCATAACGACTCCCCATGATGATTGTTCTATTCAAGATAACCAAACATATTGATATTTACAGTGTTTGGTGACTAAGAATTGGCTTAAAACCGTTTTAGAGCAATTTTTATAGAGTTCACATCAACAAAGGCTGTCATAGACTGTCATAAATCACTGCCATCAGATGCCCTAAGCGGTAACGTCTAGAAATGTTTTGGATTTTCAAGTGCCATGGGGCCATGGCTGCCATGTTTCATGACACCAGAGGGATCCAGATAATATGATCATATTCCCACGGAATTCACCATTTGTCCTAGTGAAATCCTCTATTTCTTATGGTATATCATATTACAAATCCCAATTTCATGGTCTAAATCAGAAGATGTCCCTGAAAAATTGCCCATCAATTCTTGGTTCAGATGGTTTAGTCAATGGTTGATTAATCTCCCTCCTTAAATCCTTTCAACCATCAACTGCTCCCATCCCAGCCATGGTCAAAGGCAGCGCGGTGCCACGCTGGACGTTCAAGCTGATGGTGGTGCAACCCTGCAGGTCCCGCCCTTGCAACGGCCAAAGCCTTATTGGGGCTTTCCAAATGCCTTAAAGACTTGGCATTTGTTTAAGTTTTATAGGGATTGAAACCATCAACATATGAAAATGGATGGTTTCATGACATTGCACGCTTCTAACAGGACAGTGTTTTTTTTGTTATAGCCATAGCTGTACGAATGAATATCTAAACCAATTCAAACCACCAAGAGGATGGGGCTTTTCACCAAGCAGAATTCTAATCATATTTCACCACCAAGACCAGAGTTTGAGCTTGAAAAACTCTTGGATGCACAGAAACAAAAACATGGGAACGTGGTTTGAAAGTAGAGGTGTTTAGCCATGTTTTAGGAATGTTTTACCATGTTTTCCCAACATTCAATGGGGATTGACCACAACAACAAAACATGGAGGCTGCCCCTTGGCCTCAGGTCGACCATGTGCTTCACCATGTGAGGTCAGCACTCACGGGGCTCACCATCCGGCTATGGGGAGGTCATGGTGCTATATCTTCACTTCCACTGGGACACATTTGTGATGTTTAGTGGTGCAGTTCCAGTTTTAAGATTTTTAAGTGGATATATTTCACCATATGGCAGTCGATCTAAAGGTCCTTGTAAGGAGTTTTATTGTGCGAAAGCCGTGCGTGTTATGTTGGAAACCCTCGCGAAAGTTTTTTTTCGAGTTCGCGAAAGATTTGTTTTATCCGCGAAAGTTTCGCGACAATTGGATATTATGAATCATTATCATTGTATACATTACAGCATGCTAAGGGCTACCAACTCCTGCCTCCCGGGGTCCTGCAGGAGAATGGTACCGCACCATAGGTAGCAGCCAAGCTTCCGAAGGTGAGGCTTCGCCACGGCTTCGCCACAGCCAAATACCATGGTCTTGAAGCACATCCTTGCACCTGCCGCTGGTACTGCCTAACGTTGCTTTCTGAAGTCTCAAGAAGCAAGCTTCAAATGCAGCAGCCAAGCTTCCAAAAGTGAGGCTTTGCGAGAGCCAAACACCAAAGCCCCTGGTGATCTGGTGTTTGCTGTTCCTCTGATGCGCCCCCTGCTGATGGCTGGGGTCTGCGGATATGGGTATTTTCGCGAAAGTTCCGCGAAAGTTTTGCGAAAGAGTGGGCGAAAGTCAAAGTGCTTTGTGAAGGGAGCGGCCCAGTAGGCCCTGCAAAAAAATCCTAATCAGCAACAACCTGTCCTGAGAAGGGGATTCCGTGATGCTAGCTGCGTGTTTACAAGGCTATGAAGAAGTTATCCGTGATAGTTTTGTGTGATTTGACAGGTGATGAATGAATCTTCATAAGAGGAGTTGTTGCTCAACATGGGTTCCGCGAAAGACAAACATGGAGTTCGCGAAAGATTCGCGAACTAATTTTTCTATTCGCGCAGAAAGGCCGTTCCTGGATAAAGGAATTTTGATCAACCGTCATGCAGGTTTGCTGGGGTACTGTACTGTACCCTTAAATTCACTGATCTATCATTGTTTTCCATATCAAAGTAGAGATTGTATGGATTATTTGGGTATACTGGGTATAATGTTTGTAAAACATAGTAAAACAATAATAAACCATCCCCCAATCATCACAATTTTTATAGGCGGATTGTTTACCATTCCCAGTCATGGTTCGTAAAAATGGCATTGTTCTACCCATATGAATATATCAAAGGTGATGCTTGGTCAACACTGGGTTTCAGCGACCGGTCGGTTTCTCCGGAATGATCAACCATGGTGAACAAAATAGAAAAAGATGTCTTGACTATGTTTGCATCCGCAAGACAAACAAATCCACAATCTATTAACCCTACATATAGCAATACTAGCTGTATTTACTATATATATATATATTATCTACTATTATCTAACTATGGGATGACTTGCAGCAGTTCGCAGTTCAAGAAGCATACTTGATGAATGGTGTATGAAAGGCTTGATCTATCCATTTTGTAGGGTGTTTTTGGGCTAAGCCGTGTTGAACCCACATTTTGGATCATGCTGGTTGTTCGAAATTCCAAGTTTTCATGGTTGAATTCATGGTTTTCATGGGTAATTGGGTATCCAAAGGTTAAAAATTGTGAATTTCCCCCGGTTTTTTTCAGGTCGATCCCTCCCCTATCCGGGTCGATCGTTGCCGTTGCCATTCGCCATGCGCCGTGCCCGGCTGTTTTCCAAACAACCGCGCCACGATGGACAGTGGGCCATCCTTCGGATCATCCAAGTGAAACCATGGTGGACGCAGGGAATTCCACTTTTTTGGGGACCATGAAAGTGGGATGTTTAATGTGATGGGGTGATGGGATTTTATGATTCTATTCGTAGCATTTGGTAATCCTTAAGATGGCATGCTGGAAAATCATTTTTTCATGATCATGTATGCATGTGATTGGTAGTCTTTGGTAGTCATAACATGTCATAACGTTTTTTTTTAAATAAGATGGTCAATGGAATTATTAATTTATGATCATGTATAGAGATGATTTTCCCGGCTATAAAACCTCCATTTCTAGAAAATTTCCCATTGCGCTGCTAGGGCCTGGCCTATGGTACCATCATCTCGTAGGATGACACGCCCCGGTAAAGTGATTCATCGCAACTTGGCAAATCACTGTATATTCTGGGTAAATTATAACGACCTCACTGCGACCTCACTGGAATCATGGTTTTTATAGGGAAATCATCCCCAAATCTACCCAGATTAATGTAGTTCATCGAAAATGGGCCATGTTCTATAGCTATGTTAGCTTACTGCAGGGGAAACAAAAATGGGAAAATATGATGCCCAGCTAAAAATATATATATTTTTTTTTAAATGTATCTTTAAGTAGCCATGTTGTGACAGGGTGAGTTTACCCAATAGCTGGAAAATTTCAATGGTACACAATTATCAATGATGTATAATTATGTAACGGAATATAGCTGTCACAACATGTCATCATGTAACTGACCAAAAAATAACTGGTTGGTGGTTTGGAAATGTTTGGAACATTTTTTTCCATATATTAAGAATATATAATCCCAACTGACTTTCATATTTTTCAGAGGGGTTGAAACCACCAACCAGCTTCAGTTGGATGATCCACGCCAGGGGGATCGATGTTTTGCCCCGTCGACCAGTCAAAATCGACGGTGCCCGTTGTGTTTCGAGCCGTGCGATTCGTGCGATTCGTGCGATTCGGTGGCGTCGTGCTGGAGTCAAATCGTTGGTGAATTTGACAACAAAAAGGTGCAAAGAAGGGGGGAGTCCAAAACGACATGTGGAGGGGTTCCATAAATGGTACCCCTTTATCGCTGGATTGTTTATAATGGAAAATCCCATTCAATGGATGATTTGGGGATACGCCCATTTTAGGAAACCCTCATGGAATTGACTCTCTAGCATCTACTGATCCTTTCCTAATCACCGGTCATCATTGATTTATCAAGAAGTTGCCCGGTGCCCATTTTTTTGGGCGCTACCCGGTAGTCCTAAAATATCCTAAAATGGTTACTCTAGAATAGGGACAGTGGTTTGATGGTCCCCATTGGATTTCAATGGCCCGGATGGTTTGTCAGGATCTCTGGATGAGGAATAAAGGTTGTGAAAAACTCACCCACAAATCTCAACCATCCAAATTTTCGCGAATTTTGCTAGGCTTTGAACTGGCACTCCATTGAAAACCAGCGTTGATGTTTTGTGCTGTGTTGCCAGCGCTACGCGGCTTCGCGAGTCCTGTTGCCTAGAAGCGAACCTGCCTCAAGTGCAGGGAGGATTAGCGGCCCAACCAAGGGGAAAGAGACACAAAGCGCGCCATGACTCCATGACTGGGTGCATCAGAACAGCGACCAAAGATTGCCAACCAAGCCCCAAGGAATCGATTTCATCCAACAGAATCAGCCTCTGGATTTACCCGGCCTGGTAAACGTTTACAGTTTGCGAACTTGAAAATGGCCAGTTCGACAGTTCGTTGATTTACCCATTTTCATAGCATGGTGATTTTCCATGGTTATGTAAACGTTTACCAGAGGGTAATCTATAGAAATTGTCCATTTATAGTTGGTTTTCCCATTAAAAATTGTGATTTGCCATAGTTTTTTGTATGTTATTGTTATGTAAACGTTTACCAGAGGGTCTGTTTGTTACTTCACATCTTCAAGAAGTGATGCTTCCATATCTTCGATCATTTCCGGATGAATCCTCAAAACTAGCTGACATGATTGAGATGTGCCGGATGATACATGGGATAAACATGTTTTTTTTTTTTTACGGCCAATGGTTTTATCTCTCTATTCCCTTTGGAAACCTAGGTATTTGGATATTTGGACAAATGTTTAATAATTGCATTTGGATGTATTTGGGGTGTCTACGATGTGGCCCAACCCATTTACAAGTTATTTGAGACAGACCCATTTTTGCAATTACCAACAGCAGTCAATGTTGGTTTTCAATCTCTTGGTCTGGTGCGCTGTTTTTTGCCGAGCCCAAAAGCTGGAACCCTGGAACCCTGGAACCTGCTGTTGGGTTGCAAAGCTGGGTTTCTGTGGTAAACCGAATACCCTAAACCATGCCAGTAATCAACCATGACCAAGGGTCCTAGTAACCATCATCCATCATCATCCCCCAGCTTATGGATCATGGTTGATAACACATTCTGATGGTAACCACTGCCAGTGTATCATCCCATTCCATCCATAAACATGTTCAAAATCATTCCGTTCATCAGCATTATCCCTATTGTTGATGGCTTCTAGTCCGCATTGCTTGTTCAACCATCATCAGTGCAATCAGTTCAGTCACCAGTTTTGCTGCTGGAATCCAATTTTAAAACGCTGACCATTTGTTGCTTTAGCCCCCATACATCCCCATGATATCCCCAGTTTGTGGGGAAGCAGACACATGTTCAACTCTTTTTTTGGAAGCGGTGATACGGATACCCCAGTTAGTGATACAGGGATGGGTCAAAACCTACTTTTTAACTCATTTTTTTTGGGAATCATCATCCATAAACCAGCTACAATGTGGAGCCCCCCAGTTATAAGTTGGTTTATAAACCCCATTAAACTATAGTTATAAGTACCACAAACCATAGTTATTGGAGTTATTTGCACCAACTTAGCTATCGAACGCGGGCCCCCCTGCGGATCCCGTAAGGAGAAGTACTGCCATTTGGCGCCCGCCACTGTGGCGTTTCTCTGGCAGCGCCTCGACATGCCGAAAATCTGGGTAACTGGGAAAATCTGATGGGGATGGGTCAAAACCTATTACCCTCTGGTTATTTAACATGGCCATGGAAAATGGATGAAAATGGCCCATTTTTTTTAAAATGATTTTACCATTAATACCTCCATTTATAAGGGATTTTCCGTGGCTATGTTAAATAACCAGATGGTAAGTGAAACAGATTGAAACATCATTGAAGTGAGGGATTGAAACAGGGCCATGTTTGATGACACCAGATGGCAACCACGATAAATCATGTTGAATGATGATCTTCTTATCACTGGTTGGTGGTTTGGAACATGAATGGATTATGACTTTCCATTTAGTTGGGAATGGAAAAATCATCCCAAATGACGAACTCATATTTTTCAGAGGGGTAGGTATACCACCAACCAGGAAAATATATTGAAATCTATTGAAATATATTGAAATATACATGAACATAAATATACCACATAAATATACCATAGTTAAAATATTTTAATGGAATATATAACCAGTCATATCTGGCAAAGTAGCTGGGCAATGGAGAATTATCATCAGCATGATATGCCACAGTTCTTGCTGATGTTCAAGGGCTTGTTGGACTTAATCTTTGATAATATTTGATTATCTACTTTTATGCTGCGACTTTTTTCGGCCATTGGTTTATTTTCAAAAATTACAACGCTCAAAAAGTGTGAAGATTTGGCTCATGGTAGCCCAATTTTCAGCGAAAAACTTGTGGAGTCCACCCTCCAAGAAATGGAAAGTATCAAGAATGCAGATTCATCATCGAATAAGCGGCTTGATTCATTAATCGGAAAAAAAACACATCAAACTACATGGTGGGTCATGGTGAACTGTTTAACAGACACGGGGAGGTCACCAATGAAACTGGAGGCAGAAATAATAATCTAAGTGGCATGCTGACGGTTGCTGTACAACGTACCCTTGTGTCTTGTTGCATAGCAGCTGGAGTTCAACATCACACGAAGAGGTGGTTTAGCCAGGAAAAAAACACATGATCCCCCAATCCCCCCCAAAAAATGATATTCCCCGTTTTGCAGGTAGTCTTAGGCTGGGGAGACTTTTGAAATAGGCCTGAGACGTAGACACCAACTGTTTGGGTCGAAACACAAGCCCCACGAAACTCAGGGCTTCAAAACGACTCGACCCGGAAACTGAGGCCCACAACTTGAAACCTCAAGTTTGTTTGAGACATTTTAAGACGTAAGCCAGAAATGCATAGAACGAGTTTTTTGGACCCGGCCATGTTCTCAAACGTTGGTCATTCAAAACGACACGAAACGACGTTGGACCCCATGGCCCAATCCATCCTTCTCGGATATTGTGAAGATGAAGATATGCAAATTGACTGTATCCTGGTTGGTGGTGACTGGAACCATGGAATGGATTATGATTTTCCATATATTGGCAATCATATTGGGAATAATCATCCCAACTGACGAACTCCATGATTTTTCAGAGGGGTAGGTATACCACCAACCAGGTATGACTCTATCAAATTTGGTATTTAACCATCAAAAACCGTGGCATAATGCGGATATGATGGACATGTTTCACGGGGAAAACCCAATAGATCCCAAATCACTTGATCACTCATATAACTAGCCATAAGTAAACCAATGTTTGGTTCCTTCACTAAGTTATAGCGGATATAATTTGCCATGGTTATAGTGATTTTAATACGTATCCAGAATGACTAGTCCGTCGGATAAGTTCCTGCTGTTGATTTGTACGGGAACATATCAGTAACAGGTCGATGATGGCAGCAATTGGCAAACAAGGCATCAATCATTTAGTCCAATCACACAATAAATTACCCTCTGGTAAACAAACATAACTATGGAAAATCACCATTTTTCATGGGTAAATCAACCATAAATGGTCATTTTTCATAGCTATGTTAAGTTTCCAGAGGGTAATGATTAACCAACGGATAAACCAACTATGATTACCCAGATTTCTGGCGGTTTTGGGGATGGTTTATTATTGGATTATCATTGGGTTTACCACGAATGATTGATTTGTTGTTGGGATTAAAAAAACGTTGATTTCGTTGGGTCAACCATCATGAATCGGTAACCATCATGTTGGTAAAACATTGCCATTTTTACCACCCATTTTCCTGGGAATGGTTAGTTTATACCAAGTATAAACATGGTGATGACTGGGGGATCGTAAACACTATTGTTTTAACCACATTAAAGCTCAGAATTTCTGACTCAATCCAATCAATCCATCTCCTGAGGTTCCCCCCGAGCTTTGTGTACAGCGATGAGATCTATCAGAGGCACTGTGATTTTTTCACCTCCGGCACAGGGACGTGGAAGCCTGTAACGATATGATGATATGGGTGTTTGAAAATGAGGGATACTTAAGGTATACACCAAATTGCAAATTAGGGATACTTAAGGTATACCCCAAAAAGCAATGATAGATCAGTGAAGTTTAGGGCTACCCGGACAATCTTATATGGTAAAATATATCCACCCCTAAACGTCACAGATATGTCCCAGTAGAAGTGAAGATATAGCTTGAGATTTGGCACCATGAATATCGATGACCCAGTTCCAAAATATAGCATTGCCCATTGCCCTTGGTTCAACATGTTCCAACCCTGTGTATATATATAATATATATAATATGTATAGTGTTGAGGTTTAAATCCCTACAGCTATTGGTGAAAAACATCAGCTGTGATGACAAAACCGAGTCTGGTTGACGCTTTTCCCTGAACCAGACGCAAGCAGTTTGTAAAGTCATGGGATAAACCATGAACGCACATATCCCACTGATCACTGATAATCTAACATATAACAAAGCTATGGGAATCACCCCATCTACATCAATGGGACATTTTTACCATGGCAAACGGTTATTTTTATAGAGGGTATCCGTGGATATATCCCCAGCATGGATCTGAGCAAATTACCATGACCTCTCTGGCCCAAGAACCCAGTGCTACTGGTGTTGTTTCCCCTTTTCATGATGGTTGAACCCACACTTCATTGTGACTTCATGTGGGAATGGGTCAAAACCTTTTGTCCAAATATTTTGTGGATGAACATCCATTTACCAATATTTACCATCTATATTGGGTTCATTAGGCTACCAGGGTTTTGACCCATACCCATGTTGATTTATAGTGATGTCCCCATTTTATGATGTTTCAATTCCACACTTCATGACGATCAAATCAGGATACAGCCTCGTTTTTTTGATCTGAATTCCACCTTTTACCATAATAAAATCCAAATTTTTGTTTTCTTATGATGTTGAAATTCACGTATGGGGGTTTCCATAAATGGAGCTACCCCAAAATGGTTGGTTCACAATGGTTCATAATGGAAAATCCCAATCTAACATGGATGATAACTGGGGTACCCTCTGGTAAACAAACAGGGCGCTATTGAAAATGGCCCAGTCGAAATAGTTGATTTACCCATTATATAATAGCATGGTGATTTTCCAGTTCGTTTTTTGGGACTCTTTATCAGGCCGAAAACACTTCCATTTTAGGACAGCCCCATATTTCTTGATGCACAAAAATCACCAGTCACCAGGTTGGAGCGCTTGGTGCAGTATTTGGCCTCCTCGTCCAGTGGTGTACAGGAGGTGCAACTCCTCGGCGGAACATCATCATGGTTTTTTAGGACGCTAAATCGTCATAAATCATCGATTTCGATTAGGGCCATGTTCCATTTTTCATTATGTTAAAGAACCAGAGGTGTGTACATATATATATATATATATATTATACGTTGTTCTTTTAGAACGTAGAATGTAGGATGTGATATATGTATATTTTACTGTATTCCATGAGATTTGATATGATACATGAAGTTTGCTATATATATATATATAATAATTCGTAGGGATTCACCATATCATATCACCGTCACAACTCTGAGATTGATTTAACCAACAATAATGTGGTTTCAACCAACAAACATGGGAATACAATCCAGAATATGATATATGTACATCATAGTAGATATAGGGTACATGATATAAAATGTTATAATATATATATACATATATATATATATATATTTATGCATACACACGTACATATTCATGTATAAATGTGCAATGTACAACAACATCGTATGTATATATATATAATTACGTAGCACCCAAACAATAGAAGCGTAAAATCCTACTAAACTAGTGAAACACAACGCTCATCCTATTGTTTTTAGGTTTCCATAATATACATATATATATATGATATATATATATTATATATATATAAGTGATCTTCTTGTAGATGTGCCATCATCAAAAAAATGCGCAGGCACGACACATCGTGGATTTCCGCGACGGCTCCTGGTATCGCGAAGATGTCTACGACTTCTTGAGGCGAAAATGGGAGGGATGGGATCGTGGGATTTTAATGGGATTTTCCATGGAGTTGTGGAAAATCACCAGGTAAAACGTAGGTAAATGATCTATACAATGGGCCATATTCATCCATTTTCCATAGCTATGTTAGCTTAGTGGAAGGTATTTAGTGGATATGTTCTGTTTTTGTTTGACGGATATTTCATAAAACATCTTTGGATATTGAATGGGTTTTAAGTTACCCTTCCCAATTTTATGGCAATATTTAGATGGATTCGAAAGTCATTCTCCCTGTGAATGGTTCAAAGGAATAGCAAAGTATCCACAGTCTTTGTACCCTCTGGTAATTTAACATAGCTATTAAAAATGGTCATTTATAGTGGATTTTCCCATTGAAACTGGTGATTTTCCATAGTTATGTTAGTTTACCAGAGGGTATACGATCGACGATCATCCATTTTTTGGCGGGTACAGAATTTCAAGCAAGCCTCGAGGAAGCAAATCATGGGGTCTCCCATTTGACAGATTGCAGTGGTGTTGTGAGGCTTCCCCCAGTTACCCACTGATCATTTTGTTACATAGCTATTGAAAATGGCTATTGAAATAATGTTGGTAAAACAATAATAAACAATCCCCAAATTCACCATAAATAGGGTCCCAAATTGCTGGTTTATGACATTGTTTTATATACCCACATTAGTTGATTTACCTATAGAAAATTGTGATTTTTTCCATAGGAAACTGTTAGTTTACCAGAGGGTAATCAGTTCTATTCCAATGGGAGGCTCAAGCCCGAGCCAAAAACATCCATCGTTTAGGGTAAGGTATGTATTGCGTTGGTACCCTCTGGTAAATTAACATAACTATGAGAAATCACAATTTTTAATGGGTAAATCAACGAACTAAATGTCAAATTACCAGAGCGTAAGATGTAAGGCTGTAAGGGGTGAACATTTCCTTCAAAATCCTTCAAATATGACATTGAATGATCTCAGAATCTCAGAAGGTACCGTAGCTCCATTTGATGTACCTGACTTCCTGACTTGTCGCAGAACACACGGAATCAGAAGCCAATAGATGGCATGACGACTTATTGGTGCTCCCCCATAGTGGCTCTTCCCGTCTTCCCTGGAAAATAGATGAACATAGACTAGTTGGTGGTTTGGAACTGGTGGTTTGGAACCATGGAATTTTGAATGACTTTCCATTCAGAAAAGGGAATGTCATGATCCCAACTGGCGAACTCCATCATTTTTCAGAGGGGTAGGTATACCACCAACCAGCAAGCCATGATAAGCTGGATAGAAGAAAGTAGCCAGTTGATCCATATACCCTCTGGTAATTTAACATAGTCATGGTATAGATGGCCCATTTATAGATGGTTTACCTATTAAACATGGTGATTTTCCATGGCAAACTGTTAGTCATAACCAGATGGTATCAGATATTTGTCCTTTCTCGAGTGTTTCATCAGGTGGTGAAAAATCCGTAGCTGATTTTCCATCAGAATTATGACAAAATCCATGGGGATACCTATGACTTGGAGGATCATCACTTGAGCAGCTGCGATCCACCCCTGGCAGGGTGGATGATTCGTTGAGGGATTTTTTTTCTACCCTTCATATAGTGGGGATAAAAAATCATAATCCAAGAACGGGGAATCCCGTTCTTAACCAACTTTTTTTTCATGGAATAAGAGAGGGGTTTAGAACACTGCTAACTTAGAAATGATGTATACGAATGGTTACCAGTTACATTCTGTGGGGGATCCTCCATTAACCAACCAGTACAATGGGATTTAATACCCCAAAAGGAACTTAACCTGGCTGACGGCAGCATCACCCATTGCTGTTCGAAGATTATTCCATATATTGACAATTAATTGACAATTAAAAGTTGGTGTTGTCCATCTTAGTTTCATTAAACATTGGTATTATTTTGTATTATCCCAGTCAGAGTTGGTATCAAAAGTTGGTAACAGATAATTTTCCAACATTTCGCCATGAAAAACACCCTTGTTTTCTAGCTAGACATGGAAATGGGCCACAATTGAGTACCATAATTTAATTGGATGGTTAATACATGTTGATACTGAAAATAGACTAAGCCCAAATAGGCCCCCCCCCAGGTCTGAAAAATGTACCATTTTTGAAACCAAAACATATATTTTGCTGGGAGATTCCCTGAAATTTATGCCTAAAAATAGGCCTTGTATATTTTTCCAGGTAGCTCCAATAAATCGGTTCCTGAAATTCCCATAGATCAGAGATGATCAGAGGCGATTTTTCATGGCTCCTCCGTTTCCAAGGCAGCACCGCTGGTGTTTGGCATGGCTGCACCTGAATAACTCGACGCTCGGCTGGGCATGGCTGGGGATGTGTTTGTTGCCACGAAAAAATGGGATACTCTCCAGGGAATTCACATACAAGGTGGTGCCCCAGTTCGTTAGCTAACTTGGTTTATACCTCCAACAACTAGGGTTTATGATACATAGTTATATCATATAACATATATCTATAGTTAAACTGGGGGGTTACCACCTAAAGAATCAATTGTTGTTGGAAACTCATCTTCCAAGCTCTCTTTGGCAGGGTCTGGGCGTGAATTTATTGGTTGACACCTGGGATTGGCTGCAGCATGTTGTGTGGTTCTCCCCAACATGAACAGCATATTTTGGTTCATCATCATGTTCCCTACTGGTTGGTGGTTTGGAACATTTTTTATGACTTTCCATATATTGGGAATGTCATCATCCCATTTTTTACTTTCCATATATTGGGAATGTCATCATACCATTTTTTTTCAGAGGGGTAGGTATACCACCAACCAGATTTGGTTGCAATCTGTGGACTTTCAGTCGCCGCTGACTACATGATATTTGGTCAGGGAAATCAGCAATAAGTTGCCCAGATGGGTAATTGGATGTAGAACCAGCAACAAAGAGGGATGGTTACGCATTTTGGATCAACCACGTTTGAAGATACATTGACAATTATATATTTTTGATATGTTATTTTGGAATTATGTACATCTATAGAATTATATATAGAATTATATATATAATTATATATATAGAATTATATATATAGAATTATATATATATAGAATTATATATATATATATATATCAATATATATATATAGACATATCAAATTATGGTCCTGCTAGTAGGTGGTCAATTAGACTTAATTCTTGGGTGTATCTCACATAAAACTGTGTCATAACTTGGGATGGTGGGAGGCAATATCAGTCCGTCCCATCCGCCCAGCAGTAGATAGCCCCCATATTGGGCCCCCAAAAAATGAACAGATCCAACACCAAGCCAAGGATTCGAGGAATGCTTCAATATGATTCATCATTTCAGGGACCGTGAAAACAACTTCTAACAAGGTTCACTAAGGAAATTGGAGTCAAATAACTATATGTTTAAGATGCACCAAAGGGTTCTTACTGTCTAAAAGCCGACTGCATGGCAGTCGGCGATTAAAGGTCCCAACAAGTTCTCACTTTCTGCGTGGCTTGATGCCATGCCACTCCTGCCTCCTTTTTGGTTTGTTTCGTGTTGTAGCACTTTAGACTAAACCAACGCTTTCTCTAAGAATGGTGAAAACCCATGGTAAACACCAATGGTCACAAGTTTAATTTTACTGATGTGAAGCTAACCCATGGCTTTCTCTCTAAGAATTGATAGGAAGAAAGGATGGGTTCTCCACATCGAATTAGTACAGGAGGCTATCTAAATGTATCTAGGCAAATTATACAATGTGTTCCCGGTGCCCTTCCCCCCAGAGTTATAAGTTGTCTTATTTAAATCTGTCCACCCGTACACTAGACATTGCAGTCAAGTAAATCAGCCTGCCTATCTTGGGGCATAGTAACCACCTCACAGTAACCTTACCATAAATGGGTGTATACTCGTACATACTCGTACATACTCGTTCAATGAGCGTATCTTGCTCATGTGCATACGTATATGCATATATCATACATAGTGTACATATATTCATATCCTTACATCCAGTATATCCAAATTAATCTAGAATTGAAAACAAATATGTATTTGCAATTCCGTACTGTATATAAACTACACATCTAGTGTACACATAGAAGTATATCCAAAATCATGTGTTTCTGTATTTGTATAGAGGGGACAAGCAATGGGCCGCTGTAGTACCTTGCGCTCAAAGGCCCGTTGGTTTGCAGTGTTTTCTTTTGGGAATCTATTTGCAAACATTTGCACATGGGCAATGAGCAAAGAACGACCAGGTTTCAATTCGGGATGCAAGGGATAAAAAAAGGTGTCAAAAAAATCCAACAAGTTTGACTTCAAAATTGAGCGGCGGCCCACCATGTTTCCCTCCCGGTCTCCGGTGCTCCCATCCACGCGACATGAACATTTGTGGACCCGCGCCTAGGAGTGTTGCCAAACTTCATCTCTCATCGCAGCCTTTGGCGCCTGGGCCGCACCAAAGTTCGCAAGCGTTGCACTTGGATGCTTGGCAGCCGGGAACTGGGCGGGGAGGTGGGCTACAACCCATGAACATCTCCATTTTTGGGTGGTTTTGCAATCCGGTTACTCACCAGTCACCACCTCCCGGCTCAACCAAGTTCATCCAAGTGCCATTCCCCACCTGCCGCTGTCAATCTTGCACTTTGTGTCGTGCACATCCGTGTAGTCTGTTTGCATCCCGCGCTTCTCCCTGCACTGTCGCTGAACATCGCTGGCCCGCGCCCATGGCGAAGGGGCACACAGCTTCAGGGCTGCTGGCAACAGCGGTCAAACGCTGCCCAGGCTATTACCCGAGCGAAAGACAACCAGAAAGAGCCAGCAAGATAGAGGCAGAGAGAGGGAGGGAAAGAGAGACACCAAACCAAAGAAGCTTGATCCCCTACAAACCCAGCCGATAATTGAGGATGCCGGAGGAGGCTTTGCCTGGTGGGGCAGGTGCACCCCCAGCCTTGGCGGATGTGGAGGAGGACGATGGCGAGGACAAGAAGGAGCGCGAGGAGGTCGACGCGCTCAAGGTGCTGAATTCAGACGGCCGGGCCACAGATGTGGTTGCTTTGCGGTTTTCCTTGCGGGCGGTCGGGCTTGTGCCCAACCGGCCATAGGCAGAACGGGCGGCGATAGAAGCAGCGCTCAAGCAAAATCAGAAGAACATGGCGTGCCCATGCAAGGCAATGGCTCATTCAAAACATGTTCAAGCTGAAAGGAACCAAATTTCAACGCTGAGCACCTTGTGCCGAAAATGCGCGCGCAAGGCTGCAGGAACAATGACGGGCAACAGGTAGGCACAGGCTTTTCCATTGGCCAGGGATTTGCAATGGGAAAAAAAAATCCAGTCCGCCAGGCGCGGCCAACTTGGCAGGCGAGATGCGAAGAACTTGGCTGAGTTCCGGAGGACGGCCATGACCCTTAATAGGGTCGGGGTATGGCCTCTTGGAAGCCATTTTCTGAGTTGCACGCGTGTGCTTGATGCCCCAAGAGGCAGTCTTACTGCTTTGTTGCTGCCTGTGTGCTTGAATCTGGGTTACGTTAAGGTTCGCAGACAAATGCAGCTAAGAGCGTGTCGGCGCCTGCGGCTGCAGGGCCTGTGGCGGCTGCGGTGGATGCGGCGCGGAAGGGGGCGGGGTGATTTACCCATCTGCCAGGATCAATTTGAGAATTATTGTTAGGGATGGGGTTTAATCATGGATAATTACGGATAATTATGAAGGGTTATGTTCTGTATGATTCTATATTTCCATATCATTCTATATTTCCATATCAATTACTAATAGGGATAAATAGGATAAATGGGTAAATAGTGAATGGGATATTATAGTCCAGAATAGATATATTCATGTAATATAATAGTCCATAATAGATACAATATAGTCCATAATAGTGTATGACAATCACTGGTGGATATAATTCATAGTGAAGAATTATCTTTAATTCTTCACAGTCTTGCCAGAAGGTTGTGCCAGTGTCTGGGTGTACCTCATATGGTGGCAAACTGGCTAGGCAGAAAGAACAAGCGTATCGCTCTTCAACTTGATTGGCAATTCCAAAAAAATCATCAAGATTCCTTCAACCCGAGGCCGGGCGGCCACCGTCGCTGCTGCCCCGGAGCGGCTGCAGAGAGTGGAGGGTTTGTACCCTCGAAGCATGTTTTGCCAGAAAGAAGGGGTCGATGTGGAAATCGAAGGCCATGAGCGCAGCCGATTTGCTTTTCAACCCCCGCTCAATTGACTCACGTAACTCCAACACGGACATGGAATAGGCCCGGTTTAATTTCAATCTTTCTTGGTGCGGATGGCGTCCCGGCATCATCTTTCTTAGCTTCTTGAACCACAAGGATGTGTCGGCCACGAGTCCATGATCACCAGGGTTTTATTTGACCTAAAGGTTAGCGTTGAACAATCTAGACATAAAATGGTTCAAAACGTGATGATGTTTGAATGAGCACCCCGGATGAACACCCCTTTCACAAACTGCATTCTTCATCTATGCACGTTTCCATTGTTTTGAACCTGCGTTCTTTTGATTCTATGGTAAGGTTTGCGCTTGGTGTGGCCTGTTCATTTTGATCAAAAAACGTTGACATGAAAGATGAAACTTGCAACCAGTTTTCTGTCCCGCAAAAAATGTATATTTACCGCGGTGTACCACGGGCTATAGTTCAGGCACCTGATTTCCCGTCTTAATTTTTGCATTGCGGCAAGAACGGCAACCATACATACATAACATATCCGTGTTGATTTTTCCCATACAGAATGATTGGCCTTAAGGCCGCTACAAAATGGATTTTCATAGGTCATTTTGTAGTCAGGCCACCCTGTAAAAAGGTCCAGGTCCCATTTCAGCTTTGGCAGACCATGGCATTTTGTTGAGAAAACACCAGGTCCCATAGATGAAAAATGGTGAAAATAGAAATTCATTTCAAAAAGGGAATTTCCAAGGCCGGGCACTTTGTAAAAAAATTACCAGGTCCCATGGAGGACACTTAAAAATTGGAACCTTTGCATTTTAATAGTGAGTCCATTGGGTTTCTGGAAAACATGTAAGATGTTGTGATTTTGCTTAAAGTAGTATATTCCAAGTGTTTATTTTTGAAATACCGACGGGCCCAAATATTGCCTGATTTGCCTGGTTTTTGTTTCTCTCTCTCTCTCTCTCTCTCTCCCTCTCTCTCTTCTCGCTCTTTTGTGTGTGGCGAGTATACGGTTTAAACGCGTATGTTTGATTATTTGCTGTATAACCACCCCCCATCACGCCCCTGCAAAATGACAGGTCTTCTGCCAGAACGTCTCCAATATGGGTTGGCATTGTGTTTTTTTTCTCGAAGATGCAACTTAAGATTTTAGACTGTTCAAAACACACACACACAGAGAACAACATGATAATTTGCTAATTTGTTTCCTCATGGTTTTGAGCCTTGAGACGGAGCAAATGCAGCGAACCCTTCTGTGGTTTTACTCCCTTCAATTATTTGTTTTTTGGTGCATTTCGGTTGTTTATTACTTAAAATAACTATCTTGAAATTGATCACATCAATGGGTCTTGAAAATTATCGCATGCTGAGAATTCATCAGGGCCCATGGTTTAGTAGAGAGAATTTCCCGGCACTTTCTGTTTGTAGACTCAGGCCCAGCACTTTGTAGAGAAAAATGCCGGGTCCACTACTAAATGGCTGGCTCCAACCCCACCCCCCTAATTGGAAAGGGGATCACATTACATATCTGGGGAAATTATAACGACCTCACTACGACCTCACTGGAAATCATAGTTAGTAAGGGAAATCATCCCCAAATGGCCTTAATTCAGGTTAGTGAATTATTATAATTTACCCAGACATATATACCCACAAGCGGCCAAAAAATACAATTTACTTCGTGTTTTTATTTGAGTGGTGGGTGCTCAGGGCATCCAAAAAGGAGGCCACCTGATGAAAAAAACATGCCCAAAAAACAGGCAAATTCCAACATGTTTTGTTCACATTTTCGAAGGTTTCACTGTTTTTTCATCTGTTTTTACGTGCGTTTACTTTTTTCACATTTCCAGATGTTTTATGACATTCTTAATGTTTGCCCAATAAATATGTTATTTTCCATCCCCAGTGGAAACCAACATCTTCCACACACACACACAGAAACCTGCTCATTTTTTGTTGGTGAAATGGTCCCTCGTTACCCAAACAAAACTAAAGTCAACGGCCATTGAGGACTCACTGGGCTTCCAACTTGTGGGGTACCCAACAGGGTCAATGGAGGCCGAAGATTCATGATGCCCTTGACAAATTGAGGTTTCCATAGTCATGGGGGTACCCCAAAAACTGGATGGTTTTTTTGATGGAAAATCCGAGTGAAATTGAAATGGATGAGAACTGGGGGTAGCTAAAAATTTTATGAAACCTCCAAATTGGTACAACATGTTCGATGTGAACGTCAAAAAACATCGGAATCAGAAGTGATAGGAACAAACATTCTCAAAGAACAATGGTTTGGGCCACAGACAGTTGACCAACATTGAGCAACATGAAGTCATGTGTGTTTTTCATTGGGCATTGTTGTAACCCTCTACAACTGGGATACATAGGCCAAGGTTGTTCCAACCTATGGGGAAATCATGGCCACATAGGCCTCAACTGTCATATTGTTGGGGCCACCAGATTGAGTGCTGATGATAATAAACCATAATAAACCCCTGCCTTTCATTTTTAACACCATAAAACTGTTGGTTTGGCATTGGATCTACAATCTAGTCATTTTGGGTGCTATATTGGGAGTACTCAACCGTCAGGGGGCGAGGGCTCCTCCACCCATAATCATCCATGAATTTCCTCATTTTCGTTGTCTCGGGACATGGAATTGAATTCTATTGAATTCATGTTTCATGTTTTTGGATAAATTTTAGTTGGCCGCATGATAATCCTATATCATACCTCCTACCATAATCCCAATATCTTTGCAATCATATCGCTGTTCCCTCACCAAATTCAACATGTTTAATAGGTATTACTCTCCAAATCATCAGAATCTGGTTGGTGGTTTGGAACATTTTTTATTTTTCCATATATTGGGAGTTTCATCATCCCAACTGACGAACTCCATCATTTTTCAGAGGGGTAGGTCAACCACCAACCAGTCTGGGTCATTTATACCATGGCCACTGAGACCATCGGGATGGACTGATCGCGTGCAGACCACGAACTTCGTCTTCTGCCGTTTGTTCGGACCCGACGGTGCGCCGACGCCTTTTTAAATGTCCGGAGATGGCGAGATTCGACTTTTCCATGTGAAAAAAGGTTCGGTGGCCTGACCTAGCTATAACATGCTATAACATGTTATAACTATGGTTATAACTATTTATAACTAAATTGGTTTTTGAAAGTTGGTGATTGTCGTCACTAAGTTGGTTTCATCTGGTTTCTTTTTGAAACAAATAAATACACATACTATGATCATAGTTATATAATAAGTGGCATGGAAGCATCAACGCCAGTTGTTCCAGTTATAAACAAACTTAGCTATCAAGGGGGCTAAAAAAAATGTAGG